GTCATTTCTTTTTCTATACTTTTGGTCTGTGCTATAAGCTTATTCATAACCATTTGGTTTTGATAATGGTTTTAAAACAATTAACTGAAGTTTATTTCTCCCCATCTTGCGTATGATATTTCAGGACTGTCCTATTATCAGAGCACAGCGATGTTGTTGTGTTTGGTGTTTTGGCTGTTCTGTTCAAGACCGGTCATCCGGGACCAACCAAGGTATGTTTTCTCGGACAAATTAGATAGTATACTTCAGCGTTATCAGTTATGAGATGTTGAAATATTCTTGTTGTTATAGACACGGGGAGCATTGCTGTTTCTTTTTGCCATGATTTCCTTATTCCTGTTTGATAATGATGAAATGACGCCTGAAGATGTTCATCGTATCCTTTCAGCGATATATCACTTGTGAAGATAAGTGTGGGTAGATTTGGGGTGAACGTGTCCACCTCACCCTGCTAATAAGGGTACTCATTTTGAAAGTACCCACTCCATGAATGCTTTCTCTCAAACATCAAAGTCCCCTATCCCTCTAAAAGTTCTGGGCATCAAAGGATTGGGAAGAAACTGTTTTAGATTGGGGATTTAAAATATGAAGAAATCCTTGACAATTTATGAACAGCTGAAGGAGTGCATCGTAGTCACCTCATTCATTATCTTCACCAATGGAAAACACTCTCATTGCCAGGGTTTCCACAACTGTCAGATCACAAGGTACACTGTTTTTATTCCAGTTTTCAACACCTGGTACATTATTACACTTGAAATTTTTACTCTTCAACCTTTTACTATTCAACCTTTTACTATTCAACCTTTTACTATGTAACCTAGAAAATCTGTCTATCTGGCAGTGTTATTTAACTTATTTCATAATTTTCAAATATTGTTTTCAAGGGAGGCTTGCTGCTTCTGACTGTTGTTTTGCTTTTCAATGTTGGCAACAAAAGCTATGGAAGAAAAGTTGCTGTTGAGATTGGAGGTGACTGAATAGATACTCATTCTCTGAGTTCTTCTGTGATCATCACATGTCATTTCATTTGTGTCTTATTTTCTTCGACAGGATCTAAAAGATTCAATGCTTTGACAAACTTCCTCTCTGTCTTGTTTCTCCTTCCACCTGCTATTTTAATTTTCATTTTCAAAGTAAGGAACAACATGCTACTTATTGTAATGGTCAATTTATCTGTAAAACATTGTTCTGATGTACATACTTCTGATGTATGGAATGTAGCCTATTATTGTTAAAGCAATACTGCATTCACTTGTCTGTATATATTGCAAGTCAATAGACTATAAAGCCGGTTTTCCACTAGGGATAATTTTCGCGCGAAACGACACTCAAATACAAAGGAATAAATTCGCTTCGCGCGAAAAATATCGCTAGTGGAAAACAGGCATTAAACATCCATCAGAAGTGAATTGGATCTGACAAAATTAGATTGTGTGAACAGACCTGAATTTTAGTATGGTGATAGAGTAATTTTTTAAACAAATCTATCTTTTCAACAGGAAGCAGATGTTCCTTGGATGGACAAACTTCTCTCATTTCTCCTAATTTCCTTCGCTATTGCTTTCGACTTTTATGTGGAAGCCATATGCATGGCAAAACTTGACTCAAACAAAACATCCAAGTGGGGATCAATTGTGTCGTTTCTTGCAGCTTTTGGCTTGGGTTTGCTGTGGAATGATCATCATATTGCAACTTATATATTCCCGTTTAGCAAAGATGCGTTTGACGAGCATGGCATGTCTGGAAGTGTTGTTCTTGCAGTCCTGTTTTTAGCTATCGGTAATAAATAGATTATTGTATCCTTGCTGGACCTCTAGGAAGAACAGTTTAGAACTGATAGAGCTATCCAGTATAAATAAAGTTGGTTTAGTTTAGGTTTCCTCCTGTAGTGACACTGGATCAATAAGAGATGATCCTTACTGGACCTCTAGGAAGAACAGTTTAAAAACGATGAGTTAATCCAGTATAAATAAATGAATGTTAATTTTACTCTAGCGACGCATCTTTTATCTCGACCTTCTCCAGTACAACAAGGGGTGAATAAAGGAATTCTGATTGGCTACACGACCAGTGGAACTCCTTTGTATAGTTTCACTTCACCTCAGTCCGTTATTGCAACTGCGAGGGTATTTTTAAAACAAGTTTTGGCAAAAACTGAATCAAGACAGATCTTTTATTTTCTTTGCCTGAATTTGGTAGGTACAAACTGAGTCGTTTTTTGTCTGTTACGGTACTCTGTTAAGTCTGTTTCAAGTCTGAATTCAGTAAAATCGTCTTTTATAGACATTCACATTTGTTGAACTGTTCTATGGGGCTTGGAATAACAGTCTTGGTTTAATATCAGATGGTTTTCACATGTTATTTGATTGTTCGGCGCTTGTATTGGGTCTGTGTGCATCTTTGATGAGCAGTTGGAAGCCAACCAAACTGTTTTCGTACGGGTGAGATGTTTATTGAACTCATTTGTTAGCAAGAGTAACTTGATCATAACTGGGTTGTATTCCATGCGAGAAATCATGGTAACTCTTGTTTTTTGTTGTAGTTATGGACGCGTGGAGTATCTCTCTGGCTTCGTCAATGGCTTATTTTTGACCGTTATTTCAGTATTTGTCTTCCTGGAAGCTCTGGAAAGATTGTTTGATCCGCCTGAAGTGACTACGAATAGATTATTGGTAATGATTTGTATTTATAAAATAACATGTATATAACGCGTGTTCTGATTGGTCGAACCGCCATCCAAACACGGAAACCATTTAGTAAATGCATGTATACCACCTTGCGTTAGTTTAGTTGTAGTCACTGACAGGTCAGTGTTTAGTGGTATTCTGCAACAATAAACTGTCCTCGTTCGTGTCTGAACTGCGTGCAATTTTTCTGTAAACTAGATTGTATCAGTATGTGGTTTAGTGGTGAACCTGGCTGGTATTTTCGCCTTCAGTCATGCGCATTCCCACGGCGTGGGGTCACATGGTGGCGAGTCAAGTTGTCAGTCGCATGGTCATGGTGCTGGTCACCATGGTCACAGTCATGGTAGTCATAGTAGTCATAGCAACCACAGTGAGCATGGTCATAGTCATAAGCATGGTCATAATCATGGTCACAGTCATAAAGGACATGGTCATGCTGGCTGCTCTGATGGTCACGGCTCTCATAAGACCAGTGCTAACATGCAAGGTAAGGTTTATCTTGGCAGAACCACTGTGGATGGGTAGTATTCAGCAATAAATACTCATCATGTGTGTCCGAAATAACCAATTTTACTTGGTATTTACCAGGGGTATTCCTCCACGTTATAGCAGACACTCTGGGCAGTGTAGGAGTGATTATATCAAGTCTACTCATTGAACAGTTTGGTTTCCAAAGAGCTGACCCTGTCTGTTCGTTATTTATCGCTGTCTTAATATTCGCTAGCGTAGTTCCGTTGTTGAAAGAATCTGCATTAGTTCTTGCTCTGAGAACGCCGAGAGATATTCAATCTGAGATTGGAGAAGCTTTGAAGAAGGTAATCTTCCTTGAGCAGATGACTTTTATTCCAAAATTTAAAAACGTCAATTCTTATAGTGCAGGTAGCCTTGACGCTATCTCATTGCATAGCTGTTTAACAGTGAGCGAGGTTTGGTTCCCGATTGATGACCATTTTAAACTTCTACTATCTTGGTGACCAAGATCTAGCACCTCTGTCTACGGAGTGTACACCCCTCACCCCCTCCCATAAATCGACCTCCCCCTGGGGATTTCATGAATTTCCGCTTATCTGTTAGGTTTTGACGATAAAAGGAGTCTCGAATTACCGAAATCAACATTTTTGGACGCATTCTGATAACCTGAAAGCAGGTAGTATTCAAGTTCACGTCGTCCCGACCGCCATTGAGGCGACTATAATATCGCAGGTAAGAAATGTCGCGATTTTTTTCTCGAGGAAATTTCGAAGATATATAAATGCGTTTCGCTTCCCGCTACAGGTGACGAATATTTTTAAAGAAATTGGAATAAATAATTTGACGATCCAGGTGGAGAAGGATGTATTTTTTGAGCACATGTCTGTTCTATCAGCAGGATATAAGTCTGTTTTACAACTGACGCAAAAGTTCAATATGAACCCAATGAATACAGATTTAGAAAGGAACTTTATAAAATCAATATAGTCTAGGAAATATTAGAATATAGACCAAATCAATGACGCAGATATGTTACATGAAGTTTGATTGGTTCGTTAGTTTTGCGGAGCCAATCAAACTTCGTGTAACATCAGGCTTCCCGCGGTTGACGTCACAAAAAGAAGAATACCGTCTACCGAAGGTTACTGAGGCACAAAGTGACGGTTGTGGACTCAACCCGTTATATGCAATAGTTCTCAATTACTACTTGTGCTCTATCGTCACAGAATACCTAACAGAAGTAGAACTCTATACTATTTTTTGAATTTTCGTAAGTGTGATTCGTCATGATTCGTCACTTAGCAAGTGCATTTTTTTGAGGTAGTCACCCCCCTGCCAATACTAAAAATGGGCTGATTTTAGACATTGGCAGGGGGGTAACTACCTCAAAAAAATGCACTTGCTAAGTGACGAATTATGACGAATCACACTTACGAAAAAAGTACAGGAGTTCTACTTCTGTTAGGTATTCTGTGTTACGTCAAGAGATAAGCTCGTTTATAAATATTTAAGCCATTTCATTCTAATATGAGTTAGGAACTTTTATTAAATACTTTATTATATAAATTATATAAACTATGTTTTTCTTGAATTCATAGTTTATATATAATTTTATCGATTGGTAAAAGGAAGACTCGCTATTTGTAGTTTAGTTTATTCGTCTATTCTACGGCGTCTTCACCCGAAATTTGGCGGAACATTTTTCAGCTGCTTCAAGGTTTGGTGGGAGAAATTTTCAAAATACAACCAGGGATACCCAAGTCAAGATCTGACGAAAGAAAACACAAGTTTTTTCGTTCAAAATGAGTGCAAAGAAACTCTTGCTCGCAATTCAACCTTGCGCAGACTTACATATCACACAGTCACAGCCGGAAAATGTATATAACTAATTTTTATTGAAACTACATTTGACTGGCCACATCAACTAAATCTACCCGGGGAAAACTGTATATTTACATCAGGGAGTTCCTTGAACCTGATTTACTGGGCTTTCCAGCCGGTTGTTAGGACATGAACCTGATGCTTTTAACATAAGTTTTGAGAACTTAATTTTCCAGTTATTTTCCTCAGTTGGATCCCGAATAAGTCCGAAGGATTGCTCAAAGACGCCCAAGTATTCTTTCCCGCGATGCACAGTTCCACCAACCATTACAACAACGAGTCCATGAGAATCTCGTTTTCCTTTGATGCTGTCGTTTGAGAGGTTGGGGTTGAAGCACAATCGATCAACGACGACCATTGAGAGAAACTTCTCGCTTACAAGATTAGCGCTGTCCACCGTGGTCTCCTGAAGGCCAGAGGGTTCGTTACATTGCACCATTAGCTTTGCATCCTGCCAGAAGTGCTGTGGTCCCCAGTCAGTTGGGATTGTTCCAGGAGTTGAAGATAAAGAATTGAGCAGTTTATAAAACCATGAGGAGAAGTGTATAGCAAGATCTTGACTTTCACTGGCTTCTGAGGATTTTTCTTCTGGGGTAAGTGAACTATTATCTTCACTTGTAATATTTATTGGGCTGGTGTCTTCTCTTTTAATAACTGTCATTGTTGGACCATTTTCATCACTGTTCTCTGGTTGAGTTTCTGGGTCAGTGTAGCCAACAGTTACTCTGTCCCCAGGCTGGGCTAAAATGAAGCCTGTATCACCAAGTTCCTTCACATCTTTCTAAAATAAGAAAATTTACAATGTTGATTTCACTTCATTCATGAACTTTTGGGGCTGATCTACGTAATGAAATGTGAGACTTTTCAGAGTTTCTAAATAAGTTTCATTATTCTTCAAAAGGGAGTAACTGACATGTCTGGATTCCACCAATGGTCATTTTATACCAGCCATGTCTCTAATTATCCATACTTACTCCTTGTTTCTTTAATTCCCAGAATTTCAAGACCTTTCTAAGCAAAGTGTTTTTATCTGCGGCAGGATGCTCAATGTGGCCCTGTTTGGCAAGATACTCATAGAGGTTTTCCCGTCTTACTTTTCTTCTTCGGAGCAGTTCTTCGCTGCTTCTTGTGTAGAGCATAATAGCACTCAGAGCCTCTATTTAGAAACATATAATATAGTTGTATCACTTGTATGAGATTAGAGGAATTGCCAGGTTATAAAACAAGCAGACTAGCTGAGACATCAAGTTCAAAACTATTCTGGATAGTTTGAAAACTTTGCTGGCATTTTGCCTTGATGGGTGACTTCTATTTATCAGTTTACCATCCTAATGGTCTTAAACATACCTTCCTTATTTTCTGCGCTGACGACTCTATTTGTTACAGTGTCTGTCAAAGATAACAGATTATCCAATGTGAGAAGATCCAAGATTTGAAGGCATTCTTTCTTTTCAAAATCATCCATTTTCTCAGTTCAAAACATTCAGTCATTCACCATATTTATGTATAGTTCAGTAATCTTTCAGTCTTCTGAAACTTCCATACTCTACACCCCCCCGCCGTAAAATCGCTAAACAATACACGAAAATATGCTGTAGGCTTCTTGCAGGGGGGGATATCAAATTAATTAATTGTATTGCTCTGAATGTGGCGCGGAAATTCAAAATGGCGGACGAAGGCGACGAAGTTCCCGTTGCAGGTAAAATGGACTTATTCGCTTCTTTACTTCTCCAAAGTTTGAATATAACTGAAAATCCTGTAACCATTGCTTTTGTTAATATTTCTAGGGTCAAAAGGAAAGGCGATCTCGAATGAGGTACAAGTTATTGCGAATTTTAAAATATGGACGTATTATCATGATATGTGCATATTAAATGCTTATAGATTGACCTTTGAAACACTTTTTACTAGGCAATGGACAAAAAGGAGGCAAAATCTTCAATGCTAATGCAAAGTCCACGGATATCATCACAATTTACTTCACCATTGAGCAGCAAACGTTCTTCCTCAGACTCAGAGCAGAGTTTTCGTTGTAAAAGAACCAAGTTTAACGGCAAAGCACGCAAAGGTATTAACCAAAATGTTATAAGAATGCTTGATTCATTGATCTGCAATGTTTGATGTACTAGTGATGACTATCTTTTGACTTTTCTCCTCGTAGAGAACGACGACGTTGACAGAGTCAGAGAGTCGTGTGGTCATACTTCAAAGGAGGATGACGATAAAACGAAGGCATTGGAAAAAATGCTAAAGGATAAGGAAGAATTGTTACGAAAGTTAAAGCTGGTGAAGATGTACAGAGCCAAGGTAATTAATAATGGTATAGATAAGATTAATATTTAATGGTAACACAAATTCATTGAAATAGGTGACAAAGATTAAAATCATAAATATAGCAACGTGTATTCTGCGAGAATTTTTTAATGGGGGCAGGCAAATGACTTCTAGGGGGCATCTGGCCTCCGCCCCAAATGCCAAACCTTAATGAGCCCTTCTCACAATGTGCTAGCGAGATCGTGAATCTCTCCTCTGTATGATAAGTCTCTTCTCGTCTCTCTCCATTTCTGGAAGTATATTTAGTTATATTTATATAGAGTTTTGTTGCTGAACAGTTAGGAGATTTTTTTCTTTCCCTCAGAACAATCTAAACGATCTTGAAGAACTGATCAAAAAATGGCGTTCCATCTCTCAGCAAGCTGCGCAGGATTTGTTTAAGAAGTTCAACCAAGAACATTCATTAACTATGGGAGAATTTCTAAACGGTTTGGGAGTTAAATACGACTTAATACAATATTCTGAAGACGAAGATTCGTTCTACTGAGGAAAATATTACAAGGTAGGAAAATAAGGATTTTTGTAGTTGGGCTATATTTAATGTATATATAGAGTTTTACCGGGATTTAATACTTTCCACAGTAAATATGCGCGATTTTTAACAACAGGATTATTAAATGCACGCAATGTTGCTTCGGAAAAGCCTTTACAAATTTACTGTTCTGAACTCGACCGTTGTGCGGATAAAAGGCATGGTACTAGAGTATTAGAATTGAGTATGTAAGAAAATGTAGGAAACGTAACCATAAAAGCAAAGTGCAAAGCGATTTACAAACAATTTATTGGCTCGTGTTGCATAGAATCTGTAGTGTAGGCAGTGGGAATTTTGAATGCACAAATTTCGTACAAGGTTGTCTGATGAAGGAATACTGTAATCATAAACAAACGATTTTGCGACCAAAGAAACGACACAAAATATGTATAAATTTAAAAATGTATTATTCGTGTATGCACGCGCCTTTTCACCATCTCCTATTTTCACACATACATGCATCCACACGTATTGAAAATGATACGACATGTTTTCCAATTGATATAATATATTAAAATATAGAATTTAAATTTGTAAAAAATGTATTTTTGGGATTGCACTGCAAACACAGCAAGTCAAATATTTCTTGAATAATATTCCAATACTTCAATTCCTATAATACGGAAAATTCCGGCGTTGTGGTTTCAATTCCGATTACATTTCATTATGATCGTGATCATGGTCGTGGTCATCAAGCATTGCGATTCTTTCCGACTGATCATCGCGGATATAAACACTTGGGACGTCGTTCTTCGATATTTCAACACTCGACGCGGAGTTATTCTCAACTTTTGTGTAGCCTTTGCTCGAGCGGGGTTTGAAAAGACCGAAAAGTGCAAATATCGCGAGCAGCGATAAGCATGTTGCCAATGAGATTAAGATGAAATGGTTTTCAATTTTATTCCGTGAAGAATTCTCCTCGTCGTTTTGGTGAGGAAGCAGAGCCGAGCGCCGTCCAGTGATGTTCGTATAAGGGCAGTCAGTGTTACACGCTTTGCAGGTCCTCGTGTTCTCGTCCAGTTTGTGGTCAATCGAGCATTCTTGAACGCAGTATCTTCCCTGGTAGTAAAGATCCATACGACACGATGTGCAGGCGTCGGGTCCTGCCTGCGTGCAGGTTGCGCACGATGGATGGCACGTCTTACATTCGGGCAAGCCGTTGGACTCTCCCTCGTAGGTTCCTGGTGGACAGTTCTTGACGCAAGTAAAATTGAAGAGTTTTTTGCCTTCGTAGCAACTCAAGCACTCCTGGCTGGTCGATCCTTTGCACGTCTTGCAGCCGGTACTGCACGTGTAGCATAAGCCCTTGTTCCTATACTGGTTGCCTGGACAGGGGGATAAACACTGACCGAGGGACAGGGATCGTCTTGGGTCGCAGCTGGTACAAGCGACCTTTCCCCTGCCTGAACAGGTTCGACACGTCGGATGACAAGCCTCGCACCGCGACCCCTCGCCATTTCTGTACATGCCGTCTCGGCAAGTCCTTTGACACACAGTTCCTTGGAGACTATCTTTACTGTCCTTGCACGATAGGCATTGGTCGAATGTTGAGCCCATGCACGTGGCACACGATGCGTGACACGGAACGCATTTGCGTTCTGCACGATTCAGAACGAAACCGGGCGAACACACTCTTACGCAAACATTGTTCTCGAGCACCAACGGTGTTAAACATTTTCTACAGTTTGACAGACCATTTCCTAGAAAATGAAAGAATCCTGAGTTAGAAACAATAAACAAAGCGTTTGAACATTTCTGAACATTTACACTATATCCCTTGGTAGAGACCTCTATCTACTATACTATTAGGGTTGAAACACCAAACAAATTAAGGTGGCTCACCTCCGCTACATTCTTTGCAGTAGTAATCACATGGCTGACAGTTTTTGACATATTCATTGAAGTAATACCTAGTTGGGCATCTCGATCTGCACTGCGCTTGAAACAGGACCAACCCTGGCCTACATGAAGTACAGCGACTTCTACCAGCACCGACGCATGTCAAACAGGAGCCATCGCAAGGCAAGCATCGGTTGAAATCCTTCGATAGAAACATCCCAGATGGACATGCGGTCACACACTCGTTCTTGAACAATATCCGTGGCGAAGCGCACTCGATACAACTTGTAGGCGAGCCAGCGCAATCTTTACAAGCGGTATTACATGGCGCACATGCGTTCGTCGTATTCTCACCGTAAAATCCTTTAGGGCAATGAGGTATACACTTCCTTTCGTGAAGCCATAAGCCTGGGACGCATCTCAAACATACACTTGGTTTACCACAGTTCAGACACTCGGAGGGGCATGACTCGCACAGTGTACTTGAGATATCCTCGTAGTAGCCACGTTCAGGACAATTAAGCGAGCACAATCCGCTCTCGGGATCTCTAAACTTCACTCCTTTGCACCTCAGACAATCGTACTTGCTGGGACCCGAACAAACTGAGCAAGAAACGTGACATTCTGAGCAATGATCTTGTGTTTTGTTTCCAACGTTTTGAGAAGCCAGTGTGCTGTTATGAAATGTCCCATCTTCGCACATGGACTTGCATGCTCCTTCATCTTTACTGAAACCCTCTAAAAAGAGAACGCCTATGTGAAAGATCATGTCAAAGTGTCATGTTTTAATTTATTTTGTGGACGTATTTCATATCTTCTATGTATTCTATTGTTTGAATGTTCTGTAATGAAAAGCGTTTTTCCTGTTGCGAGAACACCTAAGTTTACTGCGCTAAAAAGCGGGCGAAAAAATGGCGTATTTCTACCTTTGCATTTTGTGCAGTTCGTTGCTATCCCTGAACATCCCTCGCACGTTAGCGAGCAGGGCTGACATCGTCCTCTTTTATCCGCAAACATCCCTGTGGGACATTGCTTCAGGCAGCTGTTTTCGAAGAAGACGAAGCCATTGTCACACGTCAAACACTCGTTACGACCGCCTCCGAAACAGCTGGAACAGTTGTCATAACACGTCAAACACCTGCGAGAAATATCATCAGAATAAGCTGTTGAACTTTTTACGAAAACCGATGACAACACATTACAGGAATGAACCAGTTGAAATGTCGAAGAATGGTACTAATGTAATGCATTCAGTTGCAGTTTATTTCTTTTGAAAGTTTCACTTTTCCTTATGGCATTATTTGAAAATCGTCCGCACAAAACAGTCGTAATACTTACTTGTTGTTTCTACCGTAAGTTCCGGTCGGGCAAATCGCCTTACATTCGTTTCCATGGAGATACGTATAACCTGAGCAGGCGGTACAATGGGTAGGCGGACCAAGGCATGCCGCACAGGAGGGGTGACAGTATTTACACCGGAAACTCTGTACCTCGGGGTATGTACCCCTCGGACATGCGTCGATCGTCACGCATTTTTGTTTCCATAGAAACATGGCTTGACCACAGGCCGTGCAGTGTGAGGGATGATCAGGGTCACATGCGCTACAATTTGATCCACATTTCACACATGTGTCCTCGGATATCCTATGACTTGATCCTGGAAGAGAAAGGATAATAATGAATACAGGTAGATCTAGGAAAAAAAAGCTGGTTTCTGGTATCAAATTTGTCTTCTTACCCGATGGACAATTATCTAAACACAATCCTGTTCCATCGTCCGTTCTAACCAATCCATCTTTACATGACGTACAATCAGTATTCAGCGGACCTTTGCAATGCTTGCATGAAGTATCGCACGGCACACATTGATGATCGCTGCCGTAGAAACCGGAGGGGCACGTCAGCATGCACATCCCTCTGTGTAGATACGCATCATGTGTTACCCCTTCACGACTTACTGTGGTCACCCCACATTTAGTGCAGGACCATGCACTGCCGTTGTTGCACGTTGAACACGAAAGATGGCACTGCACACAGAGGTCATTTGACACGTATTCATTGCTTTTGCAGTCGATAACACACCTGGAGGTGAGAGAGAAAGATGAGAGTTTGCCCTGCAACCCTCCCTATTTACCAATATACACTGCACTCACATGCACGTGCACACCCTCTACCTACCAACCAACTGACCTGTTCATCTCAAGCTTATGATCCTCCTTGCAAGAAGTACAAAATATGGCTTTGCCGCTGCAGGTCAGACATTTGGGATCGCATCTCTGGCAGATTCCCTCGTTTGCAAACCACCCATCCGTGCAGTCTTTGACGCAGATTCCTTCCTTGAGCAGCTTCGGTTCTTTACATGAAGTACAGTGGTTGAATTCTGGCCCTTTACATTTCTCACAAGTGTTGGAACAAGTCTTGCAATCCTTCGTTGCCTCAACGGCGTATTCGTTGTCGTGACATTTGTTTACACAAACCTAAGAGACAATGCTCACAGATTGAAGATCTGGACAAAGCATCTGAATGAAACGCCACAGGCTGAGGCACCTAACTCTCAGTTAACGCATGTAAAATGCTTGTATTTATGCTGGTAGCCAAAAAATATTTGCAGTTAGTCTTGCGTGGTCTAAAACCGTCTACTTTTCCTGCAACTTGCAAATTGTGTCAGAGACCAAACATTGACAAAAATTATACTTTTTCAGTTGTTTGTTTTATTTCTTCAAAACTAAGTGGCATCATTTGATGATGATTTCAAAGTCTTATTAGTCTCTAGTCGGTTCATATTGCACATTGTATTGGAAAAAATTTTAAATTTTTCACTTCTCTTCAGTGTGCACTAGACTTTTGACCAGGATTTGCAGTTAGACAGTTCAGGCACCTGCAGGTAGTTGTTGCTACCCAGCATCCCAACATCTGACATTCATGAGATGAAATATTTTGACAACTTGTGAAACATCACAAGATATATCGTTTTGATGCAAAAGTAAAGACTTTCGCTTCGACTTACTCCGTTTGACCTGTAGTGCGCACACTCGGAACAGTCTCGGGCGGTCGGACCGTGACATCCTCCTTTGCATTCGCTGGAGCAGTTTGTATACGCAATCCCTGGTTCTTCCTGGGTGCCATGGAAACGGAGCTGCCAGCCTCTTAGAGTACCAGTGTTAGCAGTGCTACCTGCAAGAAGAGATATTCCGTTTAGTTGATCTCATTGAAGGATACTTTCGGATGAGAGATATACGATTGTCCTAATCATCAGACCCAGAACTGTGTACAAGGAAGAGTGGGATATGGTAAAAGTGTGGTGTACGAAGTGGGATATGGCATAGGAGTGTGGTGTACGAAGTGGGATATGGCACAGGAGTGTGGTGTACGAAGTGGGATATGGCATAGGAGTGTGGTGTACGAAGTGGGATATGGTAGGACCGGAATGATATTATCTGAACTATGACGCTATCGCACGTCTTGTGCTACCACTTACCAACATTCTCGATCTCTAGCTTCCACTTTCCTCTCGGATTTTCTTCCCAGGTATGCGTAGACATGAACGCCCAGTTATTAAATCCTTTTGCTGAGTAGTCCAGCCTTCGCTTGCCCAGTAATGTCGACCGTGTTCCCTTGGGCGAGGTGATGTAGATGGTGAGATCACCTCGTCGTGTAAACGATAAGGACAGTATGACTTCCACGTGCTCCAAATACCGGATGTGGTTCTCAGTTCCCTCGCAACCTGTGGTATCTCTTTCGACGGTCAGACTACCCTTAACAGGAATTGTTCTGGAACAAAATCAAGTAAACACAAACTAGTTAATGGTGTTCAAAAATGGTATTCAAAATGAACCATTTTCAACGCAAGATCAGATATCTTTTATGCATATTCATTTTCGTGTATCTGGTTAAGATTCATGTGAAGGGTAGTCCACAAGGTCTACAGAAAGTCTCTTCTAAAACGCTATCATTGTTGCAAACTAATTTTTATCATTGCTACTTTCACAGTTTCAGTAAAGCTAAAAACTTCTACAAAACTAGCTTATTGTCGGTGGGTGATTCTGTCTGACCTAAACAGTTCTGCCTGGCGAGAAAGATCCAGTTTAACTGCTGTTGTTATTTTTTTGCAAAAGGAAAACAAAAACTTGTTTATTGATAATGTCTCTCTCTAACTATTTCAGTTAAATTCCTCACCGGGGGGTGGTATCCTTTGCCTCACTGCAGCATCGTTTCTCAGGGGATCTCTTCCATCTTTTGGCGAGGTCTACTAAGTCCTTAGCGTCCAACAAACCGTAGCCAAAGCGATGGCTGATTCTTCGCCCGACACCATTGGTAACCCAGTCGTTCGACTTAAGTTTGTCAGGTTTTGACGTTCGTACAACAATATGCTGCATGTCTCGCCACGTTAACTTTGGACTGAAAGAAACGAAGTCGAGGAAAAAACATGAAAACGCTTGAAATGTATGCTCCACCTTTTGAGTGATGATAATCAATTCTTTAGTTAAGAGCGCTGCTTTATTTTTACGGTGGGTAAACTCTGAGACAATGGCTTACTTTGCTTCCAATGCTAGTGCAAGTATTCCAGCTGCAAGTGGAGCAGAGGCCGAAGTTCCTGTGTGGTCTGACGTACATCTATGATGGAGATCTGTTGTTACCTGAAGCCGGAAAAAGAGTTTAGAAGGCGAGACATGCCCGGCTTAAGCGAGAGAGATTAACAAGCCAGAGATTCAAAGGGATACTCATGCATGAACTCTCAAACAGAAAAAGCCTGAGTTTCCACGAGATAGTCATCAATTCTTATGCCAGAGTCACGTTCATCCCAACTTTGGCGGGAAGTAATCACTTACTATTTTCCTCATTCCCCAGGAACCGCTACTAAAAGTTGACGCCAGCGTGGAAGCACAGAATTCTGAATACCAAGGGCTGGTACCATGTTCAGTCGCAGAACTAATAGACAGGGTATAAATACTGTTCGTGTAACCATCACAGTTGCAATTATCTTGATCACGACCACCGTTCCCTGATGCCCACACGAAGATATTCCCAAGACCACCACGACCCTAAACGAAAACACGGATATAATGATGGTGAACATCTTGTAGTTTGGATGGTATCTGAACAATCTGGTGGTCCAGCTAAGAAAGATATCTCAAACGTGGTGGTCTGGTGTAGGTAGTATTCTACAATAAGCTGTCGTGGTTTGTGTCTGAACTACCTGAGAAAGATATCTCAAACGTGGTGGTCTAGTGTAGGTAGTATTCTACAATAAGTTGTCGTGGTTTGTGTCTGAACTACCTGAGAAAGATATCTCAAACGTGGTGGTCCAATGTGGGTAGTATTCTACAATAAGTTGTGGTTGTTTGTGTCTGAACTACCTGAGAAAGATATCTCAAACGTGGTGGTTCAGATTCTAAGCTCTCGTGGTTCTGCCTGAACTACCTGAGAAAGATGTCTGAGGTGTTTTTTTTTTCAATCCGTATGATAACATTTATCATGTTTCGCACCTTAGCGATTCCTTCGGAGAATGCGACTTTTGCAAGTGGACCTGGTCCGTCCACCGTCTTTCCATCATCGTCTGGCCCCCAGCTTGAACTGTAAATATCTATATGCTCTGGTTTGTAACTTAAGGAGTGCGCTTCTACAACATCCGTCACCTCACCGTCTAACATACGAATACCTGGAAAAATAGAAGAGTAATCTCCTCAGAAATCATTGCTTTTCGCAGGAAACATTGACTGCGTGTTGACAAGGGAATATGCGCGCTTTGAAGCACATGAATACGTAAGCTTGTAGGAATGTTTCAGCGATGAAATATTGCTTAATCCGTAATAAAAACCATATAATGTGTTTAACTTTAATCCAAAGATATGCATATCGAATGTACAGAAAGGGTACAGTGTGACGCTGAAAGATACCCGCTTGAATGCAACAATAGAGAGTGGGTATAAAAATAGGTACACACGCATGTACATGAACAATGAGTTACTTTAATTGATGCTATCAACAGACTGGAGTTGTGATAGGTTATCGACAACTAAGCGAAAGGTTATTTGCTAAAAGTCAAGCTGATGAAATATTTGTTGACCTCCAACTTTGGCACCATAAGCAACGCCAACACCACAATGAGTGTTTCCAGCAACCGCGGCGACCTCACCAGCACATCTTGTTCCATGCCTGATAGAAGGAAAGGGAAGAAAGGCTGTGAGAGGAACAGTATTACAGTAGGTTGTAATAGTTTCTGGTGGTGAGTAACACACCTGTTTTCGTCATTATACGTTGGTCTTGGTTGAGGGTCAGGATCGTTGCTGTTGTAGTCAAAACTCGCATCAGGATCCTATGCAATATTTGAATTGAAAGATAACTTGGTGTTTATTTGTGCCGGTACACTTATGATGGTGTGAAAAAAATTGAAATTCTATGATATATAGGCAGTATTCTTGTCATGTTGAATGCTATTCTGCCCTATTGGAACCTAAAATTGAATATTTTCCAATAATATCCTACATACATAATTTGCTTTCAGGTCAGGATGGTCTTTTTCGATTCCTACATGATAAATACATATTAAATTATTGTAGTTATATAAGTTGTAATGCAAAGTTAATTATGATGTGTGAATTTAGACTGACCGTCATCTAAGATTGACACAGAAACACCTCGGCCTGTGTAGTTCAACTGTTTCCACACAGCTATAACATTGTGGTCATAATTCTTGAACAGCTTTGCATTATTATGCTTGAAAATATCATAAAAAAAAGAGATTCATTTATTAACTTTGAAGGATGTGTTATAATCATTACTGACAGGACTCTAATCTTATGATAAAGTACAAACAGGGCTAGAATATTGAGGTTTTAGATGGACTTAGTGCCGGGCAATATCTATCCAACCTATTTATGCAATCAAATATTTGAACAGCTATGATACAATCCAAGCTAGGAAGTAAAAGTCTAATCATGCATCACATAAATGCTATTGTGCAATACAAACACTTGAAATTTTTATTGGACAAGCCAATATACATTTAAAGGCTTTTTTTCTAAGTATTTCCTTAGGGCATGTTCACCAGAAAAATAGCAAGCCGGCTTTTAAAACGAGGAAAGCTATATTTTTGGTATTTCCGTACTTTCTCTACCCCCAAGGGCAGTTTGTTGACAAATATTATATCTCTGTACGGAAAATTGCTACATTTTAGAATGATTCCATTATTCTAGGACTTTGAGGAATTCTAATTTTGAAGAGAGTATGAGATAATTATAATGAATTTCTTACCAAATACCACTGTTTGTTCCACAAGGGATCGGGAAATAATAAGGCATCTCTTTTCACTCTTCTTTTAACAGCTTGCTGTTCGACCCATTTTACCTGCCGAAAAGCGAAATAAGATGGTTTTAATTTGTATGTCAGCGTGTGTCAAAAACATTGGTCTTCTTCGGCACGATATTGTCGACGTCTACGATGCTGTAGTATTAAATCGCCAAATAATACAAAAGAATCGTGACAAACCTTAATCTCCCTAGACAATCGTGAAGTATGCTCCAGCGATTCCCGTCGCATACGCTTTGAATGCGCACGATGTTTGAAATGGTAGTACCCGTCAAGAGTTCCAACCTTGTAAGATAATTTTGTAACACGTTCTATAAAGAGCCTCTGTAATTCCTCAAAGCTTGCTTCTTGTATACATCGTCATACACAGATATTTCTACGGTTTTAACCTTACCTGACCAAGGTTTATCATGCCATGTCGACGAGCAATTTCATTCACTTTTTCCTGGTCTACGTTTGGGATGTGAACTGCCCATGTATTCGTGTAGTATTGTGATGATGATGCGTCGCTACCTACTCGTAGTTGTATAAAAATACACACAAGAAAAACCTTACGTACGATCGCTAGAAAAATCATGACGGATTCACCGCCGATGTTGTTGAATGTATGTATTGATATACTTTATGTCCAAAAGCATTTAGATCGCCGTGGAGCACTCTAATAAGAGATATCTCGATCCTTATGCTATAAGATATATACTTGACATATCCATACTTGAAATTATTTCAAAACATAACCCAAGTTGCTAGCCTTCAGCAACGACTTCCTTTAGCTGTGACGTCACAATTTACGAACTTCCGGTACGCAAATTATGCGGTCTTCTAGCGCGTGGTAGTCGCATTTGCGCTTGTTTTGACCACTGTAGTTTTCAATAAAAACAACTGCGTGTTTTTCTCCCTCGTGTGCGTACATGTATGAAGGTTTACTAATAATGCAGGCACGGTTAGATTAGCCTCCAGGCAGCCTCGAAAAGTGCCAACATTGTTTGCAAGCCTGTCAAAATAATTAATTTATCAATAGAAGGGTGGGCTGTCGAAGTCTCCCCACAGGTTGCGACTTAAAGCGACTTACGATCTGCTTAAGATCTAGTTTAATGGTTCGTTTCTTCTTTTTGGGGGGATTACTATCTTCTATACTGTGAGTTAACTGAAGTACTACAGTGGGTGAAATAAGCATCGTACGTGACTGCTGCTAAGGTTTCAACCAAGCGTCCTGTGGAAAATGTCTTTCAACACCCGCTTGAGAGCAATCTATTCTTCCCGGTCGTTTTAAGTTCCTCTCTTGATTGCAAATACCCAGCTGCTCTTTAAGCTGTTATCTGATCGTCTCTAGATATCGCTGATAATGAAATACAGAACAGGGCAGGCTACTTTTAGTCTCTTACCGTCTCAAGCAAAACCAATTCAATATAAATGAAATTGCTATGCCCTTACACCCCTTATTGGATTTAAAATGCGGCTTCCTTAAGCTTCAACATTGTGTGTTGATTGATATAGCCCAGACCTGCGATTTTTTAATATGATGATTTGGAAGATTGATGTTTAAATGCATTAGTCATGTGACTGATATCTTACTTCAATTATTTTCCATCTGGTACTTTTAGCAAATACCGAATAATTGCCAGAGGAACCTTTGTTGTGTCTTATTTGAATAGCTCAACTGTGATATGTGTTCCTTTTAATATCCTGAAACAAACATTGGATTCATGTTTGAGTTCTTTCATGACATGTTTTAACAGCTGTTACAGCCTATTCAGAAATTCCGTCTTTTCTCGTTACAGGTTTTATAGATTCCGTGTTTTTTCGTTCCTCTGTCCATTCCCAGTTCCTTCATTTCTATTTCTTTCACCTTGAATAGCCCAGTTGCGTATACCATAAACTGGAGTGGTATATCTTTCTGTCGAAATATTACATCACAAACTAAAGTGACCCACTGTTCATTTCGACAGGATCCTTGTAGATCAACACTCAATATATATCACCACACACAATCATCTTGGCAAATTTATTTATTTCAGCGAAAAATATTTACAGCCAAAGTTTTTTTCTTCTCACTAATAAATACAGCCATTGATCACATGAAATGATTTTAAACGCAATGGCTTTATATGTCAACAATTTATGTAGAATCCTGCGAGATCATTTTATGTCCCTGGGTACATTCCGTCCAGTGTAAAAGACAACTGTTATTTATGTTCTCGCAGCTAAGATCGTTTTAGATTGTTGCAGATTTCTTCTGTAAAAGCTGAGCAGCTTGCGTCCCCACCAAGATCGCGCGTGCGAACCTAGATTAAGCAAGAGATGATTTTAAGTTAAAACAGTTTGAGTTCATTTCATTGTCACTGATTTCACGTTTGGTTGAATCACAGCTGTTAAGTTAACTGGGATCATTTCATTTTTCATTTAAAACAGAGCTCCAAAGAGAATGGGAACGTGGGCCGGAAGAGACTCATGAACGTAGAGTTCCTGTTTCAAAGTTTACCCCTATCCTACCTTTCCTTCTTTGATGGTGGAAAGCGTTGCTTGTTCAATTTGGCTCGCGTGTTCACCAAGATTCATATGACGTAACATCATCACGGCGCTTAGCAACAATGCTGTGGGATTTGCCTTGTCTTCTCCAGCGATATCTGGGGCTGTTCCGTGAACCTGGCAAGAGGTGAGGTCAGATATTTTAAAACAGTAAACATATGGTTTCAGTATTTTCATGGAGAACAAACTCATATCAGGCAGGTCTACCAGTTTTCCACTATTCTGTATGGGATTACATTTGCAGAAGACAGGGAAACCCACATAATTTTAGGCTATAACAGCTTTGCCTGTTTTACCCAAAGTTTATAAATTACCGATTCAAATATGGCTACTCCATCTTCACCAATATTTCCGCTTGGTGTGACACCAAGACCTCCAACTAATCCAGCGCAAAGATCGCTGCAAAAAAATTTGAATGGTTGGAAGTCATCTCGGTGTATGTGAAAGCAAAATTGCATTGCGAGGTTGTGTGGCGTTAATGTTTATATGGTGTTTGGTAGCGACAGTTGTTGGTTAAAATTGTCCAACATGGTGTCATCAACTACCTCAGTATGTCACCATACAGGTTTGGCATGACCAACACATCGTACTGGCTTGGATCTTTTACAATCTATGTGGTAGATGAAACAAGAATGTTTTTGAAAACTCCTGATGAAGAGGCGGTGCTGGTGTGGTGCTGGGAGAATGGGTGCTTACATTTAGGCAGGTTGTATCAAGATACGTTTCCTGGTATCTAATGTCTTTGTACTTCTCTGCAACTTCACGACAACACTGCAGGAACAGCCCATCGGATTTCCGCCTGTATCCATTGAAAGGGCATGAATTTATGACAGAGTAAATGTCGAGCACTGGAGCGACATTTGACAAAATAATCCTGAAGAGCATAGGATGAACTACAAACTTGTGATCTGCTTACATGATATTTGCCTTGTGTACGGCTGTAACAGTATGTCTGTTGTTTGCTCTGGCATAACTGAATGCATACTCAGCAACTCTGGATGATGCATTCTTTGTAATCAGTTTGATGCTCTGAACAACTCCCTCAACAACCTGAAATCGACATAGCAGGAAATTGATAGCAAGCACTGCAATCCAGCAAAGGATGAAATACCCTGGAGACTTTTTGTGCCTACCAAATGCTCAATGCCACTGTATTCACCCTCTGTGTTTTCACGAATGGTGACAAGATTGACATCCTTGTATGCAGTAGGGTAACCTTCAATTGAGCAGCATGGACGCACATTGGCAAACAAGTTGAATGTCCTACAGTGGATAGTAAACAACACCTTTTTATTATTTGATTAACATTTCTTAAATAATTATAATGTTTAATCCTACTTTCTTAAAGTAAGATTCAATGATACATGGCCTTTTCCAATCTTTGTTTCCATCGGTCCTATAACATAGAAATTTGTTGTTTTCATATTAAATACCAAATTAATATTCCTTATCGATTAGCATATCACGACTTAAGCGTCAGGCTGGCTCCACTAATGTACATTAAGTGTACCTTTCAGACCCACTTTATTCTGATTGATAGACTTGATTACTTGCGGTGGGACCGTGGTTCTTCCACTTGGTAGGACAATTGGTTCCACATTGACTTCTTCCCAAGTTATAGGAACCTTGAATGAATGAAATTACGACTTACTAAACACGGAATTTTTACCCAAGATCTCACCCAAAACTGCCACACTCTGCAATCTGGCTTTCCGCTTCGGTTAACATAGTGCACTGGAGCAGATAACTTGGAAATCCTACAAAATGCTTACCTCAGCTGCGCTAAACACTTCTTTCACAGCATTAGAGATCTCAGGACCAATGCCATGGCCTGGCATGAGGGTAACTTTTCTTACCTTAAAATGTGGTTGTTATAAAGTTTACTGTCTGTTTTTTATAAACAATACATGCTGTACACGTTTTATAACTTATTAGCTTTCAACTATACCTCTGTGCTTAAACATAACTTTTTCAATTTTGTTGGTAAAAGAGAACTCTAAAAACGAAGAGTTTTTACAACTTTTAAAGTGCCTTTTTACTCTATCACTTTAGTATCGTATATTCGAGTTTTAGAAAGCAGTTGTTTTGCGCTGTCACTCCTCCCTGAGGAAAAATTATCTATAACCCATACAACTTGAACAAAATTTTTCGATTAATAGAAATCGCAATAGGCTAACACTTACTTGTTTTAAAAAAAGGCTCTGTAGTCCTTTTCCTGTCGATAATTCTCCGCAAACAGCGCCGAAATATCGAGCCCCTTGTTTGATAGCTCTGCTGGAAATCGCCATCTTGGCTCAAATTTAATTTATTCACGTCAACAAAAATGAATATTTCGCAATCGCCGCCCGCTTCTCGTACTTTGACCGACTGCCGACAATAAGCCGCATAAAAGGTCGAACGAGGTGATCAACAAGGATGTATGGGGATACCTAATATTGTTTCAGGACTTTGTGTGAAAATTGGGGTTAATCTTCAGTATAAAGGAAGAATGTGTAACTCTAGGGTTTTAAAGGGATAATTTATAAAGGTTATATAGGGTTATGCGTAGGGGATAGTGCAGGGCACTTAGAGATTATTATTCTTCCAGATTTCATTCATAACTTTACACATGTTTGTTGTAAATTTTTTGTTTGATAAATAAAGCGAGAGAAATGTGAGATTTTGGAAAGAATCTGGTTGTGATCTTGGATAATTTTTATTGCATATTAATCCTTTATTCTGGGATATATCAGAGATGGTAAGCCAGCTAGCTTCTCTTTGTATTGTGAAAGATATTTGTTTTTTTCTCGTCGGCTTCCTGACCATTGTAATTTATAGTGAAATCATCTAGCAATAGTCTTAGCAAAAACGCCAAATACTTTAGTATCTGACTGCCTGATTGCAATTTAGCCTCAAAATGAACACATCGAGTTATCTAGGAAGAGACATGGCTACCGATTGGATCATTTTGAAAGAAAGTAAGTTGTCTGATTTCAATTGAAGACTGATAAATCACTGTGGTATTAAAGTATTTTCTTAAGTGTTAAATGTTTTTATATACTTACAGACGGAAAAAGGAAGCAAGACAGGTCCATGAAAGAGCTGAACATGCAAGAAAACTCCATGGACTTAGGTAGGAATTTGCACTAGTAGGAGAATTTCAACTTTTGTTTCAACCAAGGATCACATATCACTAATGGAACTTGATATTTTTGTTCAGAGCCAAACTTTACAACAAAAAACGACATGCAGAAAAGGTGCAAATGAAAAAGACGTAAGTATCATTAATATATGACTCACAATAGTTCTTTTTTATTAAAAAATGTGAAACACTGAAAGTCTGATGTCACACAAAGTTTGCTTGATTTAGTAAAACTAACATTTATGAGGTGTGATCTTCTCAAAAGCTGCATCTCTTAAATTCTGATCTTCTCCATTAGTATTAAAATGCACCAAGAAAAGAAAACAAAGACAAGAAATGAGGATAAAGTTCCAGATGGAGCTGTACCAGCTTATCTTTTAGATCGAGAGGGACAATCACGAGCTAAAGTCTTGAGTAACATGATTAAACAGAAAAGAAAAGAAAAAGCTGTGAGTTCAATTGAATAGACTATCAAATGGTCCTGAGCCCTGTTTCTCAGAAGGAGCTAGTATAGTCTCTTCAGAATAACATGGTTGGAACATACATAGCCCTGGCAATTATTTGCTTTGGCACTTGTCAAGGGCATAGCTATTGATATTTGCACTGCCTTCTTATGTTCAAACTAGTCCAACAAATTTGCATAGTCTTGCTGTAAACTAACAGTCTAATTTTCCTCAGGGTAAATGGGAAGTACCACTGCCAAAAGTGAAGGCAGTTGGAGAGAATGAAGTCTTCAAAGTTGTCAAAACTGGAAAGTCAAGAAGTAATATTTTATTCCCTAATGTTTTTTCTGTTAATTATTCATAAAGTTGAAGTACATTGAGATTTTTAGATTAAATATTTCATCACTCATTTAGGAAAAGGTTGGAAAAGGATGGTCACGAAAGCTTGTTACGTTGGTGAAGGCTTCACAAGAAAACCACCAAAATATGAAAGATTTATCAGACCAATGGTGAGGATCCGGTGGAAAGCATATTGCAGCATCACATTTTTTATTTGGGAACTTATTTAACAAGTCCCACACTGTTATCTGTGTGACAACCCTATATGGGTTTGTTTTTTCTTTATTGTGCAATGATGATGAATTCCTAATCAAATTTTCATTGCACTGTGTCTTAATTTGAAAAGAAGAGTGTCTTGCTCACATATACATACAAGAAATGAAACAGATAAAATTGTTTCTGATGTACAGTGAATTGCCCTAACTAGACTCTTTCCTATCACAGGGTTTACGATTCAAGAAAGCTCATGTCACCCATCCAGAGGTACGTACAGTTTGAAATAACCTTTGTTAGTAGTTCCTAAGCTATTTAACATTGTTTTCAAATATTTAAACCGAGACTAACTGCACTGTACTCATGAGCATATATCTGTTCTTACAGTACTCATTTTGTAAAATTTCTTCATTCATTCGAATAATGAATATTTTCCTTCCCACAGCTAAAAGCAACGTTTTGTCTTCCAATTATTGGGATAAAGAAGAATCCACAATCTCCTATGTACACATCCCTGGGTGTTATCACAAAGGGGACAGTTATTGAGGTATTATATATTACACTGTTCTTTGCTAATAAGTTTATAATGCATACATGTTTAGTTATTTTTCTAATGAATTTCATTGTATTCCAGGTGAATGTTAGTGAACTCGGGCTTGTAACTCAAGGTGGAAAAGTTGTTTGGGGTAAGACTTGTTTAAAAATTGTGAAAAAAGAATCATGAAATTTCTTTCCCACCATTGCTTTTTGTATCTGAATTAACTTAAAACCTGATCTGACTGGCAAGTTTATATTTTAGGAAAATATGCACAAGTTACGAACAATCCTGAGAATGATGGTTGTATAAATGCTGTGTTACTGGTGTAATATCGGTAAGGGATTTTTTCAGCCAGCTTTGTTTAATATTAAATCACTGTAAATTCACCTGTCAGGTGAAGAGTCATCAGTGATATTCACGCTTTTTTCAACAAAAGTGTGAATGAAGCCGTAAATGTGGGAAGCAATATGCGAGATAGGACACAGATAAGACAAAAACAGTGCACATAATATTTAAATTATATTTTGAAGCATATGCATACATTTGTATGTGACACTTCAGTGTTATCTTTAATCATTTTCATTAATGTGCTGAATATTGTAATTGTTGTCTTTATTGAACATAATAACAATAACTCTTAATCATATTTGCTTTTTCATGTTTCATGTTTGCTAAAGCATTATTTGTTTGAACCGTAATCCATATATATATATATATATATATATATATATATATATATATATATATATATATATATATATATATATATTGTTAAAAAATTGACCAAGAAACGTCTGCAAATAAGTTTCTTTGGAAAGGGAGAGAGAATATCTCTTTTTCAACACGTCAGAGACATCTTAAAAGTCTAAACACAACTATTTTTAGTATACTAGCCCACCACGTTTGGGTCTTGACGCATCCAAATAAATTAGGATGTGTCTTTCACGATTTCACTTGAAAACTCTTATTTAATCTCTTCAAAGCCCATATCTTGTAATCTCTACATCATCTTTGACATCACAACACGTGTTACAAATGGCATTGACATATTTTTATCATTATTTTTTTATTGGAAAACGCGCAATAGCTTTAAAACAGAACAAAAGAGCGAGTCATTTCGGTGTAGTATAATTTTTTAATACTTTTATACAACAGTTCATCCTTATTTTTCTTGCTGTTACAAATTCGCAAGTTTTATGATCAAACTATTCCTTATTATCTCTAACGCTCAGTTAATCCAAGCATCTCAACAATCCAACTCGAGTTTTTACCAGTGAATGGTTTTTACATACAATTTTTACATGCAAAATCTTTTAGGATTCTCTAATAAACCTTCTACGACTTCACTATTCAATTCAAACATACACGTATTTAAAATACAGCTCTCGCATCGAGTTTACATTAGAAACAATTATATTTAATGAATTTGTTGACGAAAGGCACTTTCCTCTTCGTATGTAAATGTAACATGAACTACTTTGCATTTCTATTGTGTTTTTGTCGATGAAAAGGGGAAGAAAAGTACAGATTTTTGATTTTAGATTCTAAATATCATGAGTGCAGCTATTAATGATATATTTATTAGCGCTGTTTGGTTATATGACCGTAATAATTTCTCCGTCATCTACAAAGTCGATAATACGTGCAAAAGATAATTCCCCCCTAGTGTAATAATATTGAATGTTCAGTTGACGATAGAAAACTGTTCGTGTTTTTCGCTGTCTCCGGCCACAGCGTGTCTCAAAGTGAAGAAGATAGGCGCAACACAAACGACAAACACGATGAAGAAACATAAGAGAACCATGATACATTGCATATTACTCAGCCATCTGCTTCCTCTGCCTCTCATTTTGAATGGCACTAAACCGTGCTCAACATCCGGCTCAATTTTTGCGAACGTACTTGTAACCAAGACATGCTTCTCTCCTTCGGTTTCAGCCATTTCCTGGCCATGTTTTTCGCACCTGCCCTTTACTGCTTCTTTGTCAGGGCATATTTCTATCATCGCGTAATATTCCGAGCCCAAAAGCTCCGTGTTTGTTGTACATGCTTGAGTGTCAAGCAGTTGACTTTTATCATCGTTATGATCGACCTTTTCGTCCATTTTCTGTCGTTTTTTCAGCTGACCTTTGCCCTGTGCAACGTGCTATTTTATGTCCCTGTTATTTCCTTCGCTTTTAAATGTTTTATTACCTCAGAGTCGACTGTTCTTGTTAAAACCACAAGGTTTTGAACTGTGTATTCACGCGAGAGCAAGCTGTACATACTAAATGCTAATGGGGTTTTATGCATCATTATCTATCCAAGGCAGGTGTTTTAAATCTTTCATTGTCAAATATTGGAGTGTTCATTAATTTCTTTCGCCCAACGTTCGCATTTTATGTCACTCACGTGGGAATTTAGATATCTGCCATGAATCTAAAAGATACTGTTTAATATTTTTATCATGAATTTAAAAGATACTGTTTAATATTTTTATCATCAAACAAGGATATATTTTAGGAGGTTGTGAGGCCATGCTGAACGATAGACTGGATGATTGAACCACCAGAGATCTTGTGCAAAATGGGATGGACGTTGAAGAAGAGGGTTAACTAGCAGGAAAGTAGAACAGGTGAACTGAAAATGAACAAAAAAAAAGGAGAAAAAAGATGGAAAAACCAGGAGATGAAAAATAAAAGTGGACATCCGGGGGGGAGAGAATGAGGAAACAATTTTTCCAAGATGGCGGCAAAGTTTGAACAAGGAGGGAATTTTCAAATTGTTTTTCTTGTTGATGTATGCGTTAAAGAACATAATATTTGCAACGAACACTTGGAGGATGTTCACAGTATTAAATTGCGGGGTATATCGCGCTGTGTCTTACGTTTGTTACTGCATTTTGACTCCGTTTTAAAGAGTGGAAACAGTACTCCTTTGAAATGGGGTTTTAAATTCTATAACTCTAGTGTACTCAATTTTGAGTACAAACGAAGTCGGTTTCACGAATTAAGCAGTGAATCCTTTGAGCAATTTGAGGCAGAGCTGAGAACTCGGTTTAAAAGTGCTCGTGATGGTCAAAGCTCGACGGCTGGTGTTACAAGTCTATCTTGTTGTGTGAAGGAGATTTTGCAAGATTTTCCGTGGGTTACTCCAGACATCAGTTCGCCATCGAGGACTGCTAAGAATGAACCCATTTTTGGCCATAATCAAAAGTCAAGGAATTATTTATTTGTCATAGCGGATTGCCCTTTATCAGACACAGATTTGGGTCAGTTTTTGAGCAGAGATGACAACTCCTATGATGCACAGACTGTGTTCAATGAAATATTTTCTGCTGCGTTGTATGAGGAATTCTACAACAAATGTGGTTTATCATTGTTTTGGATTGATTCAGGTCTATGGTGTCTGGCTCCTGAGAAATTAAAGCAACAAATTGAGGTTTGAATGAATTTAATGTTTCATACAATGACTTGCTCATTTGTCGCATGATCAATTTATCATCACTTTCGTTCTTAAAGGATTGGAGAGGGCACTCGTTGATGTCATCTGTAACAAAACAGCTTAACGGAAACATAATTCCCATCTCAATGCTACAAAATGGGGAAAATATTTGCAATCTTGCTTTGGAGAATGGTACATCAACTCCAAAAGGCTTTGAAAACAGAGTTAAAACACTGGCTGAAGTTCAGGTCATGGCAGCTGTTTTTAAATGCTCGTTTGGGAAAATTGTTCAGGCTTTTCTCGGTGGAAAAGACTTTATTTGTAAGAGGGTCGTTAATGATGTCAGGTCATTAGCAAATGGGACTAATGGATTATTGAGTGGAATTTGTTATTTTCGTGGTAAGTTTTTGTTAGAATTAAAAGGTTCTAAGGGCCATAATTATACTCCCAAACTAAGGAAAGCAAACAATAACAAGGGATCAATAAGTGGTTGTTTCTTGTGACAAGAGTCCTTGACTTAGCCAAAAACAAAAAGAACAACACATTTCTACATCGTGAATCAAATGTATAACTATTTTTTTTCAGAAAGGAGAGTTTGTTCTGTCATTCTCTCCTACATACTTCAGAACAAGTTAACATCTCATCACAAACACATCACAAATGAAATGTGCAAGAAAACTGTCTCTGATCAGAATTCAAGAGTGGCCCCAGATTCTGAAAAAGCACCTAATGTCACATTCACAACTGAGACAAACAATGAAACAAACACAGAAGTTCAATGTGTAGAGAATTGCTTTGTTATCAAGGGTGTTCTTGCCAGTTCAGATGTCTCAGCATCTTGGATGCATCCAACAATGTTATACTCCTGTTTCAGTGGAGAAAACTGGAATAAGAAAGAAAATGATAGCTTCAAGGCTCCTTTGTTTCACCAGATGTTAGCTCTGACTAGTCATAAATCTCTCTGCATGGTAAGTCATAATACACCTGCATTTCAATTCAGCCTCTAAAATTCTTCCAGATACAAGTTTTTACTCAAATTTTCATTCAGTTTTGCACAGAGGAAAGTTGCTCAGAGTAATCAAATTTCTATACTTGGGAGTTGACCTCATTTGGGGATAAAATATCTTCACCATTATTACACTAGCAAAAAGCTTTAACAAACTTTCTTCCAAGGTTTTGGAGTATCTTGAACCAACATTGGGTACGCTTGTCACTGGAATACTTCAACCAGTCACCACACTCTGTGCAATACTGAGTACAATCGAGAAGGACAAGCTGCTATTGGTTGAGAAAGCCATGTTACGTCATAGGTCACGTTGTGGGTATATACTGGCACCATGTGACGTCACATCAGATAAGATGTTGCCATTTGAACTACAAGAAGGTGAAAAGGTTGATGATGATTTTGGTAAAGATAATGGTGGTTGTATGCTGGCTGAAGAAAAAGGCGGGAAAACGAGCGTAATCGATTCGTATATTTGGTAAGCGTAATTATGTTTATTTATTGTAAAAAATTAGTTCGTCAACGCGAGAGTTATTCTAATTCATAGTTATGTAATTTCATGTCAAAACAGTGGCTTCCAAAAGAGGAATTTGAAAGAACGAGGTCAAGGTATAGGTTTGCGCAAAAAACTCAAAGATTATTACTCCAGGAAGAAATCCGAATTAAACAGCGAGAAGCATGTAGAACTTCAGGCGATGACGAGGGGACGATTGTGTCAAGAGACAGCCTCACAGAGGATCAAGGCTGCGCAAATAAACGAAACTTCATCTCAGAATAACAAACTAGAGAGTACAATGAAGACTGATGATCCAACTGAAGTGACATCGAATTTTGACTCGGAGAAAATGGACGAAGATCTCCCAGATCTGTCAGGTAAATGTCTCACACAGGACGAATGGAATTGTTTAAATCCTGCAATTCATTTCGGATTATTTTCATTTAGGTATTAAAAGTATTGACGATCTAAAAGCCAACTTGGAAGAAGGTTACAAAAAGTGTCTTCAAGAGGTACGTAGAGGAAAGTCTTTCTTAGAGTCCAAAATCGTGGTGCAAAATTTGAAAACAACCCCAAACTGAACAGCTCCCATTTTCCTTCTTAGGAACAATCTCTCACCGTTTATACAAGCCGTGTTTTTCAAATGATTGAACACTTCAAACGAGCTGGACAACTCAAAGATCTGGTAAGTTTATGTCGAGATATTTTCTTTGAAGAACACTTCGGATGGAAAATGAATCAGTCCAGCAGAAATCACCACCAAGAGTTATCTTGTGTCTCTTTTTAGCAAGAGATCGATGCTATTTTGAAGTCCTCCGTGCTACGTGATGCTAAAAATCTACGCGAATTTTCCGAATCTGAGGAAAGCGAATTGTACAAGGAAAAGATTGTCCTGGAGTAAGGAATTCTATTTAGTCCGTAACTACAACATATTGTAGCGGTTAAAAACATAATGGATGTTGAGAGGAATTGTTTTTCCTTGCAGATATAAATTACAAGTGTTTCTTCGTTTGGAATTTGCCGATAAATTTGGCGTCGAGGATGAAGAAAAAGCTGCTGACGAGGTCTGTATTTATTGAAATACGAACAGCATCGAAAGAAAATAACTATCCCGGCGATTGTTTTAACGTATTTTGTGTTTTATTTCCAGGTTACTTCAATGCTTCGTGCGATTTCGTTTCAAAAGGATCCAGCTTATCTTAGTTCATTCTTAAAGAAAAGCATCATTCCACGATATGCTGGCAATCTCTCCAGTCTTCTCTGCCTTGTTTACGATCATGGTTTGATGCAGCGACCACCAAACGAGATTCTCTCTCCATCACAAGTCACCAGTGATGAGGAAACGCCTCTTAAATCACGCAAAGATCTGTCCTCAAGTAAAAAGGCCGAAAGTGTGGAAGAAATGCAGTAAGTTTCGTTTTAACTTGAATATCCGCGTGTCACTTCATTTTCAAGCGATATCTTTGCTTTTGTCGTATCTATGTCCGCGACAAACGCTTTTGTACAAGTGTTGAAATCTAATCTCTTGTGTTTTCAGTTCTGAAAGTTCTCAGAGTTCTCGTGTGATGGTACGAAGGAACAGTGTCATGGCGGTTCCCGCCAAAAGGCGCGAGATCGTCATCCCGATGAAAGGGAAGGCAGACAAGGGTCGTAGGAAGGCAAACAGCGCTGGAAAGAGAAGCGGAAAGAAACGATCTTCTTCAGGGAAGAAACCAGTCACACCAGTCAAAAAAGTTCGTCGAAATCTCTTCGTTGGCAACGAGAGGAGGTCATCGCCCAGGAAAAACTCGAAGGCCAGCTCTTCGACATCAGAACGAGGCAATCTCACGCGACGTCACACGATTTCAGGTAATTAGTAGCAGCTTCTGATCATAATTCCCCGCAATCGTAACATAATTTCCGTTTCCTCGTGAAGGACTCCCCTTCTCGTCTGCCAGGTGAGTCTGAATCCGTCCATCAACAATTTCCACTCTTCTTTCAGCGTTTTCCAGTAAAGAGAAAGTTGCTGACACTCCAGTGTGTAAACAGGTCTCTCAGCGTATGTTACGTCGCCAGGAGTGGGCAAGGTATGGCGGGCTCGTATGTTTGAGAGAAATGCTGGCTGCTGGCGTGTTATTGAATGATTTTTAAATATGAAATGGTGAAGTTAGAATCGTACCATTTCTAGCTTTAAATTAACCTTTTCATTCATTTTCATTCATTTTCATTCATTTTCAACTAGACTTCGAACAAAGACTGTCACTGATGTGACTGTTGTAGAGGAATCTCCTGACAAGGATCACGGTAAATGAAGTTTATTTATTAAAACAACTTTGCCATGATATTGGCCATTAAACATACATAATTGTTCGTATGCTTCCTCCTGTTGCGAGCCTAAACGAGAGCTTCTTGGATTACGTTTCTAAGTGCATTTCTCTTTACATGATTTTTTTCTCTCAAAGCCACTCTTCCACGAAGAAGTCCTCGTTTAAAGGCAGCGACGTTTTATTCGGCTTCTCAAACGGCGCTATCAACAACTACAATGAAATCAAGCGACAAACTGACTCAATCAACTTCAGCCGAAGTCGCGTCTGATAAAAACACAAACTTTGTGGGTGAAAACAGAGGCGGTAGAACTCTCTATAGAGCCAGAAGTATGAACAGCAAGTTGGGTCTTGCTTCTGTTGCCAGTCCTGGAAAGAAATTCACGAGAACTTTGAGTATCAATGAATCATCATCTTCGAAACTCGCCAAAGAAGATTCCTTCACCGAGGTCTTTTTGCAGACTGATGATAAAAATGAAGGCACCATTCTCTCCGTTTGCTCTTCTGATAAGCAACAGAATTCCACATCCAGTCGAAATGTAGTCACCGTGGACTCCAAGGATTCCTGTGATGACCCAAAATTACCCCTTAGTACTACAAAAAAACACAATATATCAACTGATAGTCCTTCCAAACCTACTTCACCAACCTTTACATCAGTTCACTCGAAAAGATCCTTGTCTCGAAGATCGAACTCGTCACCCTCATTATCAACTACTCCACCGTTAAAACCCTCAAAATCCCCGCTCATTAACTATAAATCGTTTCCAACAACTTCACCTGTTTTATTTAAGACTCCAAGAAAAACACCGAAATCATCTCCCGTCAACTTCAGCCCGGATCAAATATTTGATATTTCAATTCCACTCACGCCCGTAAAGAGCTCGCATATTAAACCAAGAAAAACAGATACAGCAAAAGATTCTAAAAAGACACTCGACACGGTGACGAGGTCACCATCGGAATGTGTCGATCCAACTTCGGAACGTGTAAACGATTTGACTACTATCACGAGGAATTCGGAAACTGTCGGTGAAAGCTCGGAAAGTGTCGTTAATGCTTCGCCAGTTTTCAGTCGGAAACGATCTTTGATATCAAGTGCGAAGTCTTTCAGGTCAAAAACATCTCTGAATTTTGAGAGTTGTAGCACTATAATTGATATGGGTGACTTTGACGTAACAACAAATGACGTCATAGATCAACTTGATAAGTCTGTGCCTTTTGTACAGACTGAGGTGTTTAAGAGCCCGGTTACGACAAAACGGAAGAAAACTGCTTCAGTAGGAACAGGAAGGATCAGTCCTTTGAATCAGATTTTGAAGCAACGAAAAAATCATAGAAATACCTCTCCTGCAGGTAAGCAAGAATGCTGTGAGCTTAGAAGATGATATTTACTGAATGAAGCTAAGCCTTTGTATTCATTGCCTTGTATCCATTGTATTCATATATAGACTGTCGTTTTAACACAGCATCTTCAATTTATTTAGGGACACCTCGAGGTGAATTAATGAATAAACTTGACGTGGATACAAGCTCTGTGAATTCTTGTAAAGAAAATGAACAAACGTCAAATCGCAAAGCGATAAAACGAAAAATAATATCAGATGACAGCAATATTGAAGGCACAACTGATAACAAACAATCATCTCCACTCATCACCGAAGATGACATGTCTCCAGATAAGATAATCTTGACTTCCCCGAGTCATGAAAAGAAAACTACAAAATTTCTTGCATCGCCTTGTAATTTACGTCCACATTTCACTCCCATGTCATTGTCAGCTGATAGTCTGAAACATTTGCAAGAGTCGCCTGTTCTACTGGGGACTAGTCCCAAGGCTACTGACACACGGGCTAGGAAATGGTCGGAACGTAAATCGCCCTTGACTGCATCCCAGACTTCCTTGCGCAAGCGTTTACGTCACGATTCATAGTTTCAGAAAGTGTATTTTTTTGTGCATATAAAAATTGTTATATAACATGCGATAACAGCAGAAACTGTTCATTTTTGTTGGTGAACCAAATGGAAAGAAATGGTTGAAATGTTGATACATCTAATCGCAAGACTACCTGCGAATAGGGGGTAGAGAATTTTGCAAACCTTCCAATTTGGAAAAATAAAAGCACGGAAAGTTTCGTGTGTAGTCTGTGGATGAGCTTCGTTTAAGCGACTGTTTGAAATTTGCGCAATATCATTTTTTCGCCGTTACCTCGCTAGCAAACTAAACATTCGCTGACCTCCCATTTTAATTAACTTTCACTAATGTAATGGGATTACATTTAAAAAATATTTCACCAACTACTACTAGTAATCATGCAAAAATATATTTGCGTTAAAATCAAAATTTTACATTGTTCTCAAAAATTTCCATATGAACAACAAATTGATACTACAAGAAAGAAAAAAATTATTTTGGTTTTAACGACTTTATCTTTGTTTTGCGATAAGTTCGTACTTAGAGAGTTTTTTGTTCCATTTGAATTTTAACGTTTTTAGCTGTGCATCGACTGCACTCTCTTTATACCTTTCTAGTATATTTGCTCCTTCAAGCGCATTCGGCCTCCTTAAATTTTCAAGCATATCCTTAAATGCTCGAATCAGGTTCTGGCACGACGATTCGAACTCATTCCATACTTCGGCGCGAGAATTTAACAATTTCTGTAATTTCTTAGTTCGAATAACACCGTATTCTGCGCAATTTCCAAAATAAGTAGTGCGCTGGTCGTTTTTATCTTCCGATTTACCTGAAAAGAAAATCTGGCAACTTTTGCAGGGATCCATTCCTTTGTCATATGGAGACGCTTTCTCTGGGTCATATTCTTTTGTTCTGTCCACACATTTAAACGCTTCCACGTCTTCAAGTTGCACACCATTATCGTTGGCATCACTCCGCAATTCACTCAGCTTTATGTAAAGATATAACGGTCGGAAAAAAGGATCGATACCCAAAGAGACGCCAAAATACTCTTGGTGGTTTTGTGTTGTGCCCACGCTACGGGCTTCAAATACTTCCCGTCAGGCAGGCTCTTCAAGAATGTGCGACCAATTACGGAAGAATTTCTATCATTTTCATTATTGTTATTATTATAACGAAACATACGTCGCACCTATAAATCAGAAGAGGCAAGAGCTGTAGCATATATATATATATATATATATATATATATATATATATATATATATATATATATATATATATATATATATAATATATATATATATATATATATATATATATATATATATATATTATATATATATATATATATATATATATATATATATGTATAGGTTATCACATGAGGGGCGAGGTGATATCAGTTTTAGCGATAAAACTGATATCACCTCGTCCCGATTGTGATAACCTGTTTATCACATACTTCTTTTTCTTCTATAAAGCAATCGACATCGACTGAAACAAACCTCGAACTGCTCGAGTCAGCCATCTTTGTTTTGCCAGCGGCAAATGCAGCGGGACAAAAAGCGATATCAGTGACAAAAAGCGATATCAATGACAAAAAGCGATATCAGTGACGATATCGTTTTTATGTCACCCTGTTATCGCCCTGATAAAGGCACAAGTATGTGATAAATATATATATATATATATATATATATATATATATATATATATATATATATATATATATATATACTTATATTCCTTTCTCCTTTTAAACCGCCTCCTATAGGGTCCCAAGGTCTAGGCACTCGTAATGAGTGAGCAGGTGAGGGAAAGGAACAAATTTACATTCTTAGGTTTGAATAGAGATACTAACCATCTCTAAAAATATATGAGCAGGCTCTCTAACTAGATCTGGCATTTCTGTATTAGAATTGAATTCTTCAGTGATCTTAAAGTAATGACCTATATAAGAAAATTAATACCATGGTGAATAACAGCTTTTATTTTCCAAGATATTCCAAATATAAGGCATTAAAAAGAAGTAGGCACTCGTATTTGTAATATGCATGCTTTTTGCTGCAGAGCAGGACCTATAATACAAAGAAATAAATTTCAAAAATCCATATACATACTAAATTTCATTTCTGGATTGTTACGGTTTTCTACTTCAACTTCCAAAACAATAGATTTAAATGCATCCATATCAATGCCAATGGATGATGCCGTTTGAATTCCAACGCCTGGTTAACACAATGAAATAAAAATAGGGATAACAATATATGGGAAAAGATAATTTTAAAACGTGGATTTATTGTACTCCGTTGCATAACGTTAATTTGGTTGTAATAGAATATGCTGAAAGCTGTCGTTTAAAAATACGTGATATACCTGTTACATGACAGGAATGCATCATTATTTCTTGGGAAACAAGCGCTACTAGTCAATTAATGCATGTACAATCTCTGTTCAACAATCGTTTTTATTAACTGTTTTTCCTGTGGTAGTTATTGATAGAATTGGAAGAAATGGGATCTAAAATTTTCATGCACTATAAAGCCAAGGGGCTCAAGAGGCAGGGGCACCACCGGGCAATCGTCCGGCCGACTTGCCAGTCCGCCCTTGTTCACTGCATGGTCGTATTATAATCTCCTCTTAGCTCTCTTAATCGGTTACAAAAAAGATTACTATGGATTACTTTACCGGGATATCCATAAAAACCATGTATTTGCCTCAACGATTTTGTCAAAGAGGAAAAGTTGTCACTAATTGTTTGTTTAATTTGGTCCTGTGTAAAATGAAAGTCATCTTCCAACTCCACACAAAATCGCAATACAAGGCCTAAAAATGTCTTGATTTCATCGTTTATTTTACCACGCTGTTTAGAAAAAACCTCTCCCCAATCTGGCTTCTTTTTTTGTTCCATTACAGCACCGTTTGGCTCAATGCAAATTACGATTGAACTGGAAGAATGCACAAATTTCCAGAAATCAGAGTGTGATATAAAAGCTCTGAATCGATCCTGTTAACGTGCTACGCCGGATGTTTTTATAACAGCAAACTTTGCGGTCTCAAACCGGCACGTCGACACAGTATTACTATAGCAATATTGGACACATGTAGGTATTACTATTTAAGAAATAGAAAACATTTTTCCTGTGTTTCTATAGAGTTATAGAAATACGCGTGGGAGAACGAGAAATAATCAGTGGGAAAACGAGCCCACAGGGCGAATTTCTCGACGTTATTTCGAGTTCTCCCAAACTCCCACGGGTGTTTCTATAACTCTATAGAAACACAGGAAAAATTTGTTTCTATTTCTTTTATAATATAACTCAATACAAAGATTTTGTACACTGAATATTATAATTCGATTCAATTACAAATTGTCATTACATCGCTTCGCTTGTCAAGTTCGGCGGAAAAATTCCTGTTTTTCTATCACTGGTTTCCATTGTCTATTACAAATCCCACATTCTGATTGGCTACTCAACCATTGTCTATTCGTGATGGTGCACGCTTGGGAAAATTTCGCTCGCGCGACCGTATAAAATTGAATTATTTTTCGGTGTAATTGCGGTGTATGGATTATTTTCTCGAAATTAATATATAGGTTGTATACTAAACCAATTAGACAACTCGCCTTCGTTGCCTATGAGCGGATAGTCAACTCAGGCTTCGCCTTCGTTGACTATTCGCTCATAGTCAACTCGGACTCGTTGTCTAATTGTTAAATAGAAACACGCTTCTTGACCAATCAGCACGCGCGTACTATAAATGTTATAAAGTAAATTAAGTACTATACACATCATTTTAATTAATTAATATTCCTTTTTTGATCATATTCCTTTTCCTATTTGTCTTGTCAGTCTTGATTTCCATCAAACGAATTTCCAGCCTGTTTCCTTTGATCCACGAGAGCTTTCTTTGCGGCGATGTATTCTTTCGACTTAATGTTACGGTCTATATTTTCGTTTAACTGTTTCAAAGAGTCTTCATTGCTGGTTTTGATGTCCCAACCATAGTCGATTTCCTCCTACATGATTATAAAAAAAAACATGACTGCCAGTGTCGAAAAGTTTATTTTAAAGTTTGTTAGCAAATTTTATGACGCATGCAGCTATGCTATATATTCATTCACCTCTGAATCGGAGGAATACGAATCTGATTGGTTATCCTCCAAGTCTTCAGTCTAAAACGAAATGCTATGTTAACAAAACTAAAAATACAGGGAACAGGTGAATATAACAGGTGTATATTGTCATAACAAAGTAAAGTGTTTTTTTAATGAAATAGATTTAAAAAATGCACCGTTGCTGTGCATGGGCCGGGGTTTCCCCGTTTCTGCGATTCAGAGGCTAATTCGGCGCTATAGAATAACGTTAACGTATTCACCTCTGTTTTCTTCCACCTTGTCTCGAGCTCATTTTGTGTTCTCCAGTTTCGTTTCTGTTCTGTAACTGGCGCGGTGAAGTTTTCCTAATTAAAATAGGACAAATTTACGTAAAATGTAATTGGTAAATTTATGCGTATGTTTAGACCGGACGAGAAACAATCAGACATCAGACACTAGTTTCCCGTCTTCGATTAGTTTCCCGTCTAAAGCCCGTTTTCCACTAGGCGAATTTATTGCATACTGCATGATTTTGTATTTTGGTCTTACAAGAAAGATTTCAAGAGGGAAAAATCAGAATAACATCTTACTAACCTGTTTATGTGTTAAAGTTTGCTGTAGGTTTCTGATTTTCTTGAAGTGTCTGATTATCCAGTTCGAGACCCAAGTGTCCCGAACATAAGATATAACCAGGAGTGCCACGAACATAAGATATAACCCAGAGTGTCCCGAATATAAGATATAACCCAGCAATCTTTTGAATATAATATACCTCAGCAATTGAGTCTTGAGCAATTGAGGCTGTTTGCATCACCGTCTCAGTCAAACCGGGGGGAACAGAACATCCGGTTTGACTGTTCTCGGGAAGTTTCAAAGCGGGTTACGTTTAAAACTTTTTGGGTTTAATCAGAAACGTTGAATGTTAAACTATAAACCAATCAGGTTACACTGTGAAATTTTGAAAGTTTTGACAGGTTCCGCACAACTGTCGAAATATCACAGTGTAACCTGATTGGTTTATAGTTTGACATTTAACATTTCCGTAATGGTGGCTTGCAAATAGCTGTATTGCAACTGAAGCAGGCAATAGGAATTAAGCAGGCAGGTTTTTGTTCCTACCCTATCGGCCCTGCCGGCGGTATACGGGGGTGGCGTACGGGGAGCACGTTTGTCTAGAGAAAAGCTCTAGTTTTTTCACCAAACTTATTGTAAAAAATCCTGTGCTGTAACTGTAACTTATTGTAGAAAACAAAGACTCTAGGATAATCGAAATCAGAAATGATTCTGATTTGTCGTTAACGCCGTTGGAATGCTGGAATGCTTTTTTCCGTCCGATAGCATAAATTTCCAAGCTCAAATTTATGTCACATGTAGTTGGTAGCGTTTTACGTCCATTTAGGGGAGAAATTTCGAGGTGTCAGTCCCATATCGTAAATATTGCATAAGTTTAAACGCGCCGAAAAAAGTTCTACTTGATTTCAACAGCAATGAAATAACGATTCCTAATTTTAACAAACTGTATATTTCGTGTGCATAATTATGTGAATGTTGTTAAACAACCCATTTCTAACCTCTTCACAGCGAAATGACAATTAGACACTTTCTGTTTTAGAGCAGGTGATTTCAAATGGGATAATTTGCATTCAAGATGAGCTGCAAAAAAACTGCGGGTATACAGGTAGCACTCGGAGGAAAATCTGCCATATTTAGGAAAGGATTAATGTGAAATGGAGGACAGCATCATTCAGTAATGGAAATTGCAGCAAATTTAGAGAATTCGGGCAAACAGAGAACTGGCAGATCTAGCCAGTTGACCAATAAATTGGATACAACTGAAGAGGTACATGAAAAAGAGTTTTCTCGATACATTAAGTGTTGACAAAAGACCATCGTTTTGACATAATTTTGAGGAAGGCTTCAGTTTGGAATTCCTTCCGGAGGAGGGTGAAGAGGGAAGCCAGGGAAGCCGTGAAGTGTTGATTAAACAAAGTTGAACAAACCAGGTCAACATGTAGCTTGCACGTGTGCTTCAGGGGGCATGCGCATTAGCGACATCATTTACGGGATAAATTATGACGTAAACAATATAGTTATGACGTCATCATTCCTCAGAGCAATCGCTTCATGCGGACCTTGGCCAGTTCAGCCGGCCATGACTGTGGCTGGCTCGAAACAAGATGACGAGAACGTAGCGGTTATACAAGTTAATGTTCTTCCTGATCACCAGGTAGGCGGAACGGTTTACATTGTGTTTGGTTTAAATAAAGATCCTGAGGTATTTGCATTCCTCTCTTTAACGATACTCAACAATTTCTTTTCTTTTTTCACTAGAATTATTCACCACTTTTAACGTCGCCTAACTCAGGTTCGGATTGCTCAACGGAGAGCTACGCCGGTATTTCTACAAACGTCAAACAGGCTTCAAACGTCAGCAGTAGTTCATCGACTCTCTGTCGTATCTGTCAGGATGTGGACAAAACTGAAAACCTAAAAACACTCTGTCATTGTACGGGTAGCATTGCTAAGTATCATGTTAGATGCTTGGAGAAATGGTTAAGCATTTCAAAAACAGACATCTGTGAATTATGTCATGAACATTTTGCGACCAGACGCAAACCAAAACCCTTCTCAGAGGTATGCAAGTTTGTTTTATCAGGAAAGAGATATTCGATATTAATGATTTTGCTAATCCATTAATTTGCTGTATCCCGCCGCGAGAGTTGCTGATTGTAATTACTGCAACCACTGTGCTGCAACATGATTTCTAAACTTTTCCCTTCTCGTCATTTGTAAAAATAGGTGCGCGTTGCGTACATAGAATAATGTGCAATGTTTACTGGTACACCACTAAAATAGGCGTAATTTAATTATTTATATGTCTATAGATATATCTGTTGCTGCAGCCAAGAAAGTTTTGCTCAAACTCATAATATTATCTCAATACATATATTGTTAACTTTCGACACTATGTACAATAAAAAGATAAAAAGATAAAAGGTAAGGCGATTAAAAGTACTAGTTTCGTCCTTCGGACCTTTTCAACAAATCGCCATATAGTAAACAAATGAAGGACGAAACTAGTACTTTTAATCGCCTTACCTTTTATCTTTTTATCTTTTTATTGTACATAGTGTCGAAAGTTAACAATATATGTATTGAGATATTATTATGAATTATTTATATTCTATTGATTTGTCTTCTGATAGTGGGTTTTGCTGGCATCTTCTCATAATGTGAAATTTATTATTTTCTCTAGTGGGTTAAGGCTGTCCATCGCACATCTCAAAGTCGTTATATCTACGGGGATCTTTTATGTTTGATCATTCTCACACCACTGGTTCTAGCAAGTGCAGCTCTATGCGCTGAAGGTTCTTGGTATTATTTTACTCTTGGTGAGCTGATGATTGCTACTGGATTAATCTCACTTTGCGCGTTTCTTGCGTTTCTTTATCTTCTCTGGCTTGCACTGAGCATACGATATCACGTACGACGCTGGAAACAATGGCGTCAAGAGAATCAGGTCGTTGAACTCATTGTTCCGGACACAAAGTCAATGTTCAATGGAAAACAACAACAACAAGAGACGGTCGTGTAAATTAGGGTAATAAAAAGAGTGAACTTATTTCATCACATTAAAATGCAATCTAAAAACTTAAATTTGTGGTTCTACATGGTTGAAAGATAGTACACGCTCCTTTTGTTTCGAAACTGTAACTGCATGCCTAGCTATACCAGTCTACCTCCATGTTTCCTCTGTCAGTAATTCCCATTTCTTAATAGTCGAGCAATTGGTACTTTACTCTGGGTTGTTTTCCGCCTGATTTTACTTCCAATGGGAATCCTCTTGCTTGTTCAGTACCCGTGATTTGGGGAAGAACCCCCAAAATAGGTTTATCTCTACTTGAACCATTCCCAACTATTGCCCATTTGTATGGCCCAATACAACAAAGAATAATATCTCGTAAAATTCCAAAAAGGAAAAATTTCGCTGCTAGGAATAACACTAGGGCAAAGAAATTTGACCATATTTAAATATTTAATTGTGTTACTACCACGTTAGATTACAAATTAAAGTAAGGTATAGGTGTTCTGGAGTTCAGGTGTAATGGAATAGCTCCTGATTGATCTCTGTTAGCGATTTAACACACGATCTTTGGTGCATAACCACAATACTATAAGTATAAACTGAACATCCAGGCTTATAGATCAAATTCGGGTCGGCGGAATTATTTATATCGTGCTATGATGCTATGATGCAGTTTGTGGAATTCAACAATTTGACAGTACTGCAATATCTAAAGCAGAACAACAAAGTCATTTACAAGTGATAATTACTCGGGCTACCTGTGTAGCCGAGTCTATTTTTCGCGATTATTATTTTTTTTGTGTGTGTCGCAGGCTTAGTCTTCCGCGCGGACAGTCGCGTATTTACAGTGTATCAATATAGCTCAGTTTCAGTGCACTGTATTTACCGGCTTCATAGCCCGAGTTAACGCCTACCGGGCGTCTTGTTTAATTACAACTACGAAGTTTTATTTATAAGTGAAGGTTTGTTTACTGAATTTGTAAATTTAATTTGAGTTTCGTTTTGTACGATGACTGACATCACACGAAGGTTAATCTCACATTAAATCTCATAATCTCATTGTCTGAAAGTGCTTCCAGCACTAGCACTTGCCTAGAGTTTCTTTAATATTTTTTACAAATTATTTCAGGAACGGATGTATTCGTAGACTCGGATGTTTTCGTAGACTCGGATGTATTCGTAGACTCGGATGTATTCGTAGACTCGGATGTTTTCGTAGACTCGGATGTTTTCGTAGACTCGGATGTATTCGTAGACTCGGATGTATTCGTAGACTCGGATGTATTCGTAGACTCGGATGTTTTCGTAGACTCGGATGTATTCGTAGACTCGGATGTTTTCGTAGACTCTGGATTGTATTGCAAAGTGCATGACGCCTCCTTGACGGTTGAATGATATTTCCATAATAAATTATAATTTGAGTCGTGTTTCTCCTGTAGATTCTTTGAGAGAGATTTAAATGCTTCAAACTGCTCTTTACAAGCCTTTTCAAAATCCCTCCAGGGTTTTTCATTCAAACTAGAATGACTTGAATCCCTCGGGATTACATCAAATTCGGCGCAGTTTCCGAGAATATTAAAATGTTGACGACAACCAAAAAATAATGCACAACTTGCGCAGGCATGTTTGACATCGCTATTTCTTTTTATTTCATAAGCGGTCACGTTGTTCAGTCCTATTTTTGAACCATCATGTGAAGAATTTTTATATTGACTTAGCTTAATGTAGGAGTAAATTGGTCGAACAAATTGTCTCACGCCAAGAGAAACACCATATTCTTTGCCGTTGTTTTCGTTTTTGCGTTCTGCCCACACTGCGGGTTTTAAACAATTTTCTTTCGGCAGGCTCGACAAAAGTTTTTTGCCATAAACGTCAATTGCTTCAGGATTTTCACTAAACATATCTTTTATCTGCAATGAACAGAAAAAGTTCAGAAAACCAAGTTTAATAACGTATTGTTTCAAATTGATATATCTTTCTCTTCTTTTAAATTCTAACATTTTATTTTCTTCATATTATACCATTAGTTGATAAATGCGTGCTGGTTCTCTGACTTGGTTTGCAAGAAGGCACTCTTCCTGAAAAAAATTGAATTCTTTCCAAAAATTTTCTTTATCTATCTGTGAACAATATTTGCCTAAAAGAACATTAAAAAGTCTTTAGAGATAATCTTCAAAATCCGTATAATACTTCCTTCCATGCAGTGTCACAACTTAAATGTGTATAATTATATAAGTATAGAATATATCTACCACTTGACGCGTGTCTATAATACTGTGCAATTATGAATCGAACAATAATCCCCTTTAATATATCAATCCATGCATTTATAGTTTATATACATCAGGTTAGGTTATTAGTTAATTAATGATTAGTAAAGGTAATGGTTAATATTTACTAGTTATATAATGGTAATATCTACGACATTCCGAAACGCTTTTTCTATAGCTGTGAAAAAAAGTGAATTGTAGCCTAACCCCAGTTAGAATAACTTATATATATACGTACTAAACTTTTCTCCGTTTTCTCCAGTCATATCCTCCACTAACGTTTTAACGGCATCTTTGTTTACTGCAATAAAGTCAATCAGAAGAATCAGATATATATATCTACATATATATAAAAGATTGAATTTCATAACAAATATATACTACTTTGAAATATATACTTTAAAATATAAATAATTTAATTAGCCCATGCATATATACCAACCAGTTGTTAAGGTATCTTTAAACTTGTTATAGAACACATTTTCCACGTCAACGTCGTAGTCGTAGGTTACTGCAAAGTAGATGGAAAAACCCACTCAATAAACTGCACAAGCATGCTTTGTCATTTCATGACATGAAAATCCAGCCGGAATACGCTATATGACATACGCTAGCTATAGCCCTTTCACATGCGGCCGCGCTACATTATATCTGTTCATATTCGAATATCAATCAATTCTTACCATTCAAAGTTATCGGTACTTTTTCCTTGTTTTCCGTAATCCGCTTAAATCTATTTTCGATGTCTCTTTTTTTCATCACTACAACGATATTGATTTATATACTGAGGTGTTCACTTCAATACATTCTCAATTAAAATGCACATGCAATTGGTCAATAAGCGTATGGTTGCCCGTTGCATGCCATGTATTTTCCCCCTGTTAGTTTTTTCGGGAACTATATAGCTCACAGATAGCCTGCATATATATGGAAGAAAATGTTCGAGAACGCATGTGTTGGGCAATGTCTATGTCATTTGCCTTGTGCTATATCTGCTTGCATTGCGTGCATTTTATCCGATAACATTCCGAGCAGTGCACAGATTGTTTTGCAGCGTAAAAACTAGTGCATGCATACACCTATAATATACACCCACATATACAACGTCAATTCGACGTTTTGCGTAGCAACATGAATATAGATGCACCCCCTAAGTCATTATATATTTAGAAGTTATAATACGCGGTCAACTGATATTTTAGCATGCATGCACTATATACAAAAAAGAAGGTGAAACAGGTTAAGCATATTAGATATTTTTTATATAGATGAAGTCTTCTGTCGAAGTATAAGAATTATAATAAAAATTTAAAATGAAAATACATACCAAATTCAATTCCCGTACACGGCCTTTTTCTGGGCTTACCGCTATCCGAATCATTTTCTAGTACTATAAAGTCAAGAGATTTTTAAATATTTTCCGAAACGATTGCATGTATTAATTTCAAGTTTGCTAGGAATATATAGGCATGCAGCTAGGGGCAATAAAGACAACAAATCGAGTATTATACATATTTTATGTCTGAGATCTGGAGGTTTGTAGAATCAGGGTAGAATAAATATTCAAATCATCCAAAATGACTTGCGGTCGCCAAGTGGCAACTACAGGGCAATTCAATATCCACTTCGAAATTCGAAAATAATGATAATGATTTAACATAAATCATATTATAAGTATATATTAAAATTAATATACAATATATACTACCAAAATTTGTCTTTTCTTTAATGCCTTCCTCGATATCGCTCAAAAACGTGACAATTGCGGCTTTGTCTACAACTATAGTTTCTATGAAACGAAAAGCGTTTACATTGAATATATTATATATACGAATACAGTCCCAACGGTAATGAAAATGCGCAATTGTTGAAACTTCAAGTATAATTAAACACGTCAAATGCAATTGCATGCATACGGGGAAAAACGCCATGATATCTCTGACAAAAGAATACACTGCAATGTGCACAATCTCAGTTTCATTTGCTTTGATACATGCATGAATACATGAGTATGAGCAAGAGGGTATGAGTGGATACATGGTAGGAGCAAGAGGGTATGAGTGGATACATGGTAGGAGCAAGAGGGTATGAGTGGATACATGGTGTGAGCACTGTGTAATGAGCAACTCTAATACAGCTAGAGCAAGTTTAACTTTAGGCTTACTATAAGTGATTCAGGGACATGGGTTATATCATTGAGATGAATAAACCACAAGATGGTTTATTCATCTCAAAGGTTTATATAGACAACACTCTTAGAGATAAACCACAAGATTATAAGATTTATAGTACGCGTGTGTTGATTGGTCGAGAAGCGTGTTTCTGAAACTAGTTTATAATATAACATTTATAGTACGCGCGTGCTGATTGGTCGAGAAGCGTGTTGCTTAGGGACACGCACATTTTAGAATAATAGGGGACTTTTTTGGAACCGAGAATAATGGCTAAAAATGGGAATAATGAGAATCATAGTCAATTTTTTTCCACATGACGTTATTGTAATAAATTTCAGCAGTAAAATGTTAGCGGTTTGTGGACTGCAGAGCACTGACTCTGAGAGTTGTAGTACTTTGTGTAAAATGAAATTTTTGGCAGGTGTTACTTGTTTTGCACATGATGTCTTTGTTGCATTATGCAAAATTCAAATGAAGAATATACGATTTGCATGGAGAATAATTTTGAGAATAATAGGGGGAAATTTTAAGAATAATTGGGTGAAGATTTGGGAATAAGGGAATAGAATAATGGGGAAATTTTTGGGAATAATGTGCGTGTCCCTAGTGTTGCTATAACTGTATAGAAACACGGAACATTTCCCGCCGAACTTGATAAGCGAAGTAATGTAATGAGAATTTGTAATTGAATCGAATTATAATATTTGTACAAAATCTTTTTATTGAGTTATATTATAAAAGAAATAGAAAACATCTTTTCCTGTGTCTCTATACAGTATCCCGAAAAAATATTTTTTCCTGTTTTTCTATGCAGTTATAGAAACACTTCTTGGAGTTTGGGAGAACTCGACTCCACTGATTATTTCTCGTTCTCCCAAACTCTCACGGCCCACGCGTGTTTCTATTTAACAATTAACGAGTCAAACAACGAGTCCGAGTTGTCTATGAGCGAATAGCCATCGCTATCACGAATAGACAATAGTTGTGTAGCCAATCAGAATGTAGGATTTGTAATAGACAATAGTCGGGTGTACTACTAAAACTGAAAGAAATACGGAAAATGTTTTCTATTTCTTAATAGAAACACGGAATTCTTTTCTATTTCTTATAAATATTAAATATAGATTTCCCATCTTTTAAGATTCGTTTGGCACATTCTAGATATACAATTACATTTATCTTTCTCAAAATATATTTAGTTATTAAAGGAAACTGGCTTAAAGGATTTTACCAACAATTAAGCGGGTATGGCATCTGAAATTTGTATGTGTTGACAGTTGTGATAGATCTCATTTAGATACTGGAATTTAAAGCCGCTTGCGCGGTACATATCATACGTACCTGGGTTTGATTTCGGATAGCCGTACAAAGCATGCATGAAGCATAAGGATTCCATCAATTTAGCCAAGCTTTCTTGAACCTTGAAACCTTTCGATTTTTTAATTTTTTTCCATTTGCCGTGTGGAAACTGCGAAAGAAAAGTTAAAACCATGTTCAAAAATTGTTTGATGTCATCCAGGATTTTGGAACGCTCCAGTAGAAATTTATTAAATTTTCTATTGACATCGAGATTCATATCCTTTCTGTGTTGATCCATTGCGTTGTCAACATGCACAAAACAAAATATACTTTCACTTATAGAAAATAGTGATTAAAAAATAACACTGCCGGTTACTATGACTACAACTAGTTTACTTACAGGTTTAAAGCCAAGCAAAGAATTTAGTCTACGTCGTTGATAGCTGAAAATGGCAGCAACAAACTCCTTCGCATTACCCAACCAGCATCAGGTAAGTGAGAGCTTTAGCAGTGACTACGACTACGAGTACGAGTACGACTACGACTACGACTACGACTACGACTACGACTACGACTACGACTACGACTACGACTACGACTACGACTACGACTACGACTACTACGACTACTACGACTACGACTACGACTACGACTACGACTACGACTACGACTACGACTACGACTACGACTACTACGACTACTACGACTACGACTACGACTACGAGTACGACTACGAGTACGAGATTCGTCATTTTCGCGCGTTGTTTGCTTACGCCATCAGTCAAAACTCGTAGTCGTTTGGCTTTTGAGTACGAGTTTTTTGATAAACTTCGTAAACGAACAAAACGAAGAATCCCAAGGCTGGCTCGCTGGAAGCGGCTGGGAAGCAGTTTGATATTGCATAAAGTGCAATATATTTAGGCAAGAATATGAGGAAAATAATAGCAAGTAAAGGATTTCTAGAAATATGGCATTTCTTATTTACGCCTAAGCTGACTGGCGCTGAGTTACGTCGATGATAACGAAGGAAGAAATTAAAACAAGGAATACTAAAAGTAAAAGCCGGAATCTCTAATCTCATCGTCGCGCGCTGTTTGCTTACACCATCAGCCAAAACTCGTAGTTGTGTCGTAGTGACTCGTAGTCGCCGAGCTTTTGAGTACAAGTTTGTTGGTAAATTTCGTACTCAAAAGCCCAACGACTACGAGTTTCGGCTGATAGCGTATTAAGACTACGTTTACACTACTCCGGATCGGTGTAAAAACGGTGCAAAAAAAGTATCAAAACAGGGTTGCGTTTACACAGCACCGGAGCGGATTTGTTCGAAAACGTCACCTTTGCCGTAGCGACACGACCACACTATCTAAATGTGGTCGAACGGAAACGGAGCGCTACATGGCGTTGTGTAAACACTTCACCGTTAATATTTCGCTACACTTTAGATACCACTCCGCTACAACGCGTGGCGCGTTGTTGCCGCAATTCAATAATCAATATAGCGAACAATTTTCCAACAATTTATCAACAAGCACCTTTCTCGCTATCGGCGGTATTATTTTCATTGTTTTTGCGACCCACGACTACAGATATAAACGTCAAGCAATGTTTCAAAAAGAAATGGCGCAATTTCCCGCGAACAACTTACGAATGTTGACAGCGAAGAACGCTTGTGTGTAAACGCTAACGAAACTATATCGGAATTCAAACGGAACAGTGTAAACGCAGTCAAATTGCGGTGCCCGCGCCAAGTTTGGCACCGCATTATATTCTGCCTGTGAGTTTGTTTGTTCGCATCAATACGTTTCCTTAATCGCCTAGTAAAAATTCCTTGCACATGCTTGGAATGCTTGGAATTTTTTCCTAATTATTACTATTAATCTTGTTGTACGTTTGCCAAATTCCTTTTTTAAAGGAACGTTCTTTTTTCAATTTCAATCTCAAACTCTGATAATTGCGTGTATCTCTGCTTTTATGCACCTAAGAAGGACAAAAATACCACCATTCGATTCAGCGTAAGAAATTATACTTTCAGGTCTTAAACATATTACTAAACAAGAGTATTCGCAGCGATTTATGACGTTTGAAAGACAAACGAAATTGAATTGTTGACAAATCGCTCAAAATTACTATGCTATACTTTACTAGTAATAGCAAGTTTGGTCTTTGATATCTTTCATATCGTTGGTTTTCTCTTTTAATTTTCGTCCTTAAATAGGTGGATCGGTCTTACATTACGATTTATTTTATAGTTTTACGATTTATGTAAGTTGGTGATGTCGTTAGAAATGAGCGGACGTTTTATTTCTAGGCAAGCATTGCGGGCACCGCATTTTAGTACTGTGTCTGGTTCTGCCGTCACTTTCTCGCTCCGGAGCTGTGTAAACGTAGGCTAAAGCAAACAACGCGTGGGAACGTAATCGTAGTCACTGCTAAAGTTCCCTAATTTCGGACGTTAGAGTTTGAAAATTCCAATAACTCTGCGAATGCGCGAGCAAAAAACACAAAAATACCACCAAAATATAGCTTGAGAAAAATACTGTAACCCAATCGCTTCTGTTTTAATGCGGAAATTAATAAATATTTCTGTTAACCTGACACGGCAGTGCAGCTGTCAAAATCATCAAATTACAAGGTGATGACAACCGGAAATATAACTCGTTATTTTCTTCGTTATTTTTTATCTTGTCGTCTTTTAACCGTTATATATAAACTGTAAATGCTTTAGTTATCTTTTCTGATAGTTTTTAAGTCAGGATGGCCAGAAAAATCGAAAAATATCGATTTTTCTGATTTGTTATTGTTTATAGCGAGACGCGTTGCTCAGCGCGCTCTAAATGTTTATGAGATTTTATACAAATTCATGCACAATATCTATTAACATGAATCTCATTACCACGCCGATTATATCAGAACCCCTTTACACTAACATACCCATTTAAGGTTGGCTATGTTGGTAAAGACATATGTTTTGCTTTCTATCATCTAGGATGACTTCGATGATGATTATGATATCAAAGACAACTATTATCCTCTCGAGCAACAGCGTGAAGATTTAAAGAAGATTTTGGATTCACCAGAATGCAAGAAATTGTTGGAGGAATTTCTTGAGGTGCCAATATATATTTTCCTGCTTCAAACTACCAAAAAGCAATTATTCATATTCAATATTCATAAATATAATAATGAATAATGCATGATCCTTCACAACTCTTGCATGCGCGCATGCATTCGCAAAACATTCATGCGCGCATGCATTCGCAAAAAGTAATCTGTATTTATTTCATGTGCAAGTATATGTATTTCTGAGCATTCATATTTAGAAATTGGACTCAATTCAGGATGAAACCTGATCTGCGTGAGAGGTACGCAAACGACTATTAATAATATACTAATGCTATCTTTAAAAGGGAGATCGGGGAATAGGGTACGGTGTGTAAAAACAGTGTATTAGACTTTTTGGACAGCAAACAAGCGGTTTAAACCAAAAGGGAATTAGCCTTTTTTACGATGACGAATATGCCGCCATTTTTGGGGTACTTTTTTTCCACATCGTGAAGGTGCTTCTTGATATACCCGGGCATACATAGCTCGGCTATAACGGTTCGTAATTGACTGACTCTTTGCATTAGAAGTTTTGCATTAGTGGATATCATTACTGAAATAAAAATTAATGCTATATTTATTCCTCTTATGACAGGAACCGATTCCAGGATATGAGGACTTGATCATCCATTTGAAAGTAGCAAAAATTGCACTGAATATAATCAACTTAAATAAAATAAATATCCGTATTTACCGTACAATATAACCATTACAATACAATATAACCAATATAATTACACCGATTAAGTTTCTGGATTGCGTATACTTAATATGCATGAAACATTTTTGCAATCAGTAATTAATTTAGACAAGTAAATAGATATATAAGAAATAAACAAATAAAATAAATAAAGACGCTTTGATGCACGATTTATGCGTAAATAAATTCTGAATGTCCAACCGGTTTCGAATCTTTTGAGCCAACATAGGTTGAGACTCTTTCAGTACGTTGCTAGCCTATTTCGCACCTCTTGCTGGGATAATCGAAATTAAAAATGATTTTGATTGGTCGTTGACGCCTTTTCGACCATTCCATTATTTAATTCGGTTTAATTTGGTTTCTGAACGAAGTCACTGACGCGCGCCTTTTGCTTTTCAATGAAGCGCCTGCGCACGAGGTTGGTTTGACGGTTATTTTAGACCGTCTGTTAAAAATGAAAATCCAGGTTTATCCAAATATGGAACATGGATGTCAACGAGGCGGTGGGGCCTCTTAAACTCAGGGCTATGCCTTTCCAAACCTCCATTTCGCTATTTCCTTATTTAAGACGTGAAATGCAGTTTGTCCATTCTGGATAGAATTTGGTCATTTTTCACAGAGATTATAAATAATTACTATTATAAATAGTGTTATTTATAATCTCTATGAATCTCCCCTCTAGTGTTATTTATAATCTCTATAATTTTTCAAACCAAATTTGCTTTTGAGCATGCGCAAATTGCTAACAACACTGATTGGTTATTTTAGTTTCGGGTTCCAATCCTCGCGCATTCATGGCGGGATTTGTAAATTTGTAATTTTTTTTTAGTAAACATTTCTTTGATAAATCAGGAGAAACCGAGAAAGATTTTACTATGATTTTACTATGAGACTTTCTCTTAACAAGAGTGGAAATGCTCCGAAAAAGTAAGTCTGTGAATTTTATTTAATGCATTTAGAAATTGTGCTGGAAATTTTAGTGGAAATTGTTTTTATTAAGATGCATCGAAATGTACATAGTGATACTGTATCACCGCAGAAATTATGTCAGTGCAAGATATTTGATTTATCTTTAGCCCTTCTTCTCAAAACAAAACGAAATCAAATAACTCAGGATCATCAAGCAAGATATTCTCCAATTTCTTTATTAAACCGAAAGATAAGAAGTCCGAATGTGGTGATAAATCTAAAGAAAGGGATACGACCAGAAAACATGGTTTCACCGTGCCTTTCTCTAAACCAGTAAAACCACTTCGAGGAAATGAAATCCCCTTTGGTAAAGCAACCATTTTTCGACAAATTGACAAGTAAGTTATGTAATCAACATGTTTTGTAAGGATTAATGAGGTACTGGCTTCAGGAAAATGAGCCTACAAGTTATGTTACTTATAGTTATTATTTCTATAGTCATAAGGTAGAGTTTATGAATCCAGTCTTACCTGGTAGGGGTGCTCCATTGTGGGTTGTTCATGGGATGTGTGTATCATTACCATAACCCTCCTAAGTACATATTCTGACCCTCACCTGGGTCAAAACCTGTCATGTGCCCCTCTCCTAAATGTATATAACCACCCACCTTATACCTTTTATAGTGAGATAATGTTGCATAAATCTAAACTATACTTGCTTTTTTATCATTCTTTCCATAATAAATACAGAGAAATTAAAATTCCAACTGAAACCAAGAATATGATAATAGATCACGGCAAACACAACCTTGGAATCTGGAGTCAAATATCTGGACTCTTTCACACCATTGGGTATTCTTCCCTTTATCTTCTGCCTAAGTTTTCTCACTTTATACGACAATTTAGGATCCTAGAATATTCAATGACAATGTATAAATGGCTTTATGGTAGGAAATAGCTCAAAGCTTTTTGGGATGTCTTAGTAGTGATTATGTTCCTCACTTACCGTTGGCCGGAACAATACTTCTGCGCTCATTTGTTTTCTGTCTTGAAGATGCTGTTAAAAGTGGCGTCGTTTTCAAGCGTCTTCAAAAACGTTTTCGTCTCTTTAATGTCTAGCGCAACGTTAAAGCTTACCTTTTGACGTAAATTGTTGCTGTTCGCATCAGTTTTTGAGTTTAACAAGGAGCAAGAACGCGCAATACTGTTTAATCCCGTTTTCCACTAAGCGAATTTATTCACACGACGCAAAGTGTTATCTGAAATCCAGTGATGTGATTGGCTTGCGAAGGCCCAAACAGACCCAACGCGATTTGGCAACGCGGCACGATATTTCAAAGTTTTTAATTTTCCAAAAGCAAATAAATTTTAAACTATCATAATATTCTTGTAGATTACTTATGATAATACACTTTGACCGCTCTGGTGTCCATAGATACCAAATATTGATTCCAGAAATTAATTTATGTGCTCCTAAAAACGGAAAATTCGCCGGCGAATTGAATTATTTATATTCTATTGATTTGTCTTCTGATAAAGGGTTTTGCTGGCATCTCATAATGTGAAATTTATTTTTTTTTCTTGTGGGTTAAGGCTGTCCATCGCACATCTCAAAGTCGTTATATCTACGGGGATCTTTTATGTTTGATCATTCTAACACCGCTGGTTCTAGCAAGCGCAGCTTTATGCGCTGAAGGTTCTTGGTATTATTTTACTCTTGGTGAGCTGATGATTGCTACTGGATTAATCTCACTTTGTGGCTTTCTTGCGTTTCTTTATCTTCTCTGGCTTGCACTGAGCATACGATATCACGTACGACGCTGGAAACAATGGCGTCAAGAGAATCAGGTCGTTGAACTCATTGTTCCAGACACGAAGTCAATGTTCAGTAGAAAACAACAACAAGAGACTGTCGTGTAAATTAGGGTGATAAAGAGATTCATCACATCAAAACGCAATTTGAATATTCGATGTTGTCCTTTGGTTAATAGATGGTTAATTAACGCTCTTTTCGTTTCAAAACTGCATGTCTACCTACACATCTTCAACGCAACTCACCACTTCTACCATAGCAACCTGAAAATTCGCATGCACCATTAATCTTTACTGTTATCATCCTTGATGGCGCGCGTGTATTTTTAGGCTGCCTATGCTTCTTCACAACCCGCTGAACGTCTAAATAGGGGGGCCATTAGTACAGTACACAGGGTAATCAGATTCCGCCATATTTAACCTCCAATGCCATGGAACTAGGTCAAATTTACTAATGCTTTTCACTGAGGGAGAACTGAAACTCGTAGACGTTTTACAATCGACTACAGTTACTAGGCATCATCAATTTATTTGCCAAAAACATTTGAAAACATATATCTAACAAAACTACGTGCATATCTTAACCAGGATTCATCCCATTTTTAAAAGGCTTCCCATTTCCCAAAATGGGCAGTTCTAATTAAAAAAAGGAAAATTTCTAAAACCTAAACTTGGTAGTTCTAAAAAAAGTTGGATTCGTAAACGTGACTTGATTCGCAATGCTCAGTAAAGATGCCGTTTCTAATGACCTCAATTTAACACGTTTTCCTGCGGGGAAAGGTAATTTAAATGACACTATTTACCAGTAAATGAATCAACATGCTTACAAATATCTGTCGCTCAAACTGCAAGATACAAAGGATCTGACTATGAGTTTTTTTCTCTTCTCTCTGTTTCAAGAATAGTTTTTTTCCAGCGGAATTGCCTTTGATTTTCTCATTCATATGCTATAATTTAACTTCCTAGAGCCTTGCGTCTTCTCTTCTCGACTCGTTTTTTGCTTTCGACTTCGCAGTAAGAATGTAGCCGTTCTGTGCACCTTTCCATTTATATTTTAACGTCTTCGTCCCATAGGCTTTGGTATAGTACGCTTTCACTATTTCTTTTGTGGTATGTGACCTTGTTCTTCGAGTTGTGTCTTCCCTCCTGGTAAAATCACGAAAGGCTGTGAGCTGATTCTCACAAGATGATTTGACCTCAACCCATTTCCTGTTGTAGGTTGATTTTAACGACTCTTTTAACCTTGAACAAGTTTGCTGATTTCGAATAACGTCGTATTCAGCGCAATTTCCGAAATAGTTAAAGCTTGTGTCGTCTATATACGAGTTATAACCGTCGCAGATGATTTTGCAACTTTTACATGGAAGTAAACGTTCGCTGTAAGGCCACTTCTTTTTGAACGGCCGCTTCTCATTGGCTGTACGGCCACTTCTATTCTCGTCTTCTCCGCTATCCTTCATTTCAAAATCCCGCGTATCATCGTATTCTACATAATTCCCATCACCTCCTCTATCTTCATCGTCATCTCTGCTATCCTTATCCTTCTCCTCCTCCTCTTCCTTCTTCTTCTTCTCCTCCTTCTTCTTCTTCGTCTCCTTCGTTTCATAAGCCTGTACGTCAGCGAGTTCTACATTATTTTCATCACCGTCACTTAACAGATACCGCAGTTTACTGAAAAGGTATAACGGTCGGACAAAGGCAGGAACACCAAGAGAGACACCATAGTATTTGAGGTCCTCCTTATGCTGGACCCACACTTTGGGTCTAAATATGTTTTCATTCGGCAGACCCTCCAAAACAAATCGACTTAATTCAGAAACTCTTGCGCTACCAGGTAAAAGATCTCGCATCTGTATTGGACAGAAAAATGAAGTATGAATAATGATTGCGCGTGAGATTGCCTAGACTGAGTGAACACTTCAACGAACACAAAAAAGTGCACTTTTGAAAACGGGTGGACTTTTTATCCCATTCAAATGGTATGACGTGTTGCAATTGCACGACTGTATTGCACGATTATATTTCACTAGTAAATAGAAGGATCTATATCAATAGTTAAGAATATACGGCTTTTTACAGAAGAATTGGTTACTTACCATTTCCAAAAAGATATATGCAGGTTCTCTGTTTAAACTGTCAAGAGAAAATTGAGCAGGATTGAACTTCCAAAAATCCTTATTCTTTGCGCCTACACAGTAGTTTTCTGAAAGAAAAATTATGATTAAAAACCGCCGCATTCGTCAGCACATGTATCTTCAACGGTGAACGTACACTTTAGTTTATTAATAGACCTTTTCAGCTTGTACGCAAATTAACCCATTTCAAGTCACATGGTCTGAAATGGTTAAGTTTTATTAGCTATTCCATGCTCACAACATCTGAAATGGGTTAATTTGCATGCAAGCTGAAACGGTCTATTGAAATACATACCAAGTTTCTTATTTTCTATATTCAACTCATCAAAGATTTCTTTTACGGCATGTTTTTTTATTTCTATTTCTGAATGGAATATAAAAGAAACAAGATAGCATATTCAATTTTTATTTGAATATTAGGGTTTTTTTGTTTTTGTTTTTGTAGTAGGAATTTTTAATGGAGAATAAAGGAAATTTTCAGGATTTAATTTTCAGGAAATAAGGTCCTCTCCATGTCTAATTTTTGTCCCTTCGTAAGCTTGTTCCCACCAGCTGAAAATCCTCACATTTCAATAACCTCTCGATCCTCTTCAGTGAAATTTCTCAAAAACTAGTTGGCAAGCTGTTAAATCCCTTGAAGTTTTCTGTTTTGTTCGCGATTTTCACTTTCGGAGTACTTACTTTCAGTTTCGCTTTCGCGCGCTATTTATGTCTTAGTCATGCAGTGAACTCTGAATAAATAATGTTGAGATATGCTCTAAATATTCTAAATAAGGTTAATTAACATAACCGAACCGCAATGTTATTTATGTAAGACTGAATGTATCTCTGGCTACCAGAAATACCAACAAAAAAATAGTTGTTGCATGTATCAAAATTGTAAACCTTGTATGGTAATGAAATGTAATATGTCAAAATAGCTAACATAGATATAATTCTGTATATATATGAGTGATTTGTATGATTAAAATATATTCCTTTGTAAAACTGGCTAAGTTGTATGTTGTGCTTCGTATTCATGAAAGAGCGATGGCAACGGTAAAAACCTCAACAAATAACACTTATTATTTTCATTTCACTGCATGGTTTTAGTAAAAATCCTGCCTGCGAGGATGCAAGGGAATCTGCCGGTATTTGACTACGTGTCGATGCATCGCATATTTCAGTTTTATCTCGCTGGAACCATACTGTGACGACACTGAAGTACTTTCGAAAGTATTTAAGTTATGTTTAAGTTTTTACCTGCATTTCGCGGAATAAAATCTCTCTCTGATGATGCGGGGTAGGCATATAAGCCATGTATATGACAAAACGATTCCATCAAAAAACGGAATTTTCCTTCGATCCTTTTTGCGATAACAGCTTCCGTTAACTTTGAATGGTCACCTTTCTCAAAGTCCACAAGATGCCACAGAACTACATACATAAATTGCTTTATTTCCTGATATATTTGGTTACGTTCTTTTAGAAAATGACCATGAAATTTTTCATCTAGACTCTTTTCCCTGGACATGGTTTCACACTGTTATATGTTAACCTAATAGAAAGCTGTTTGAATGAAAGCCAAACTATTACATAACTGAGCACTCAGTGTGCTTATATGAGAAAATTTCACCCCCCTTGCAATGTTTTATGGCATTGTTTTGACATTTTTTAATTAATAATAGCTAAAATCGCTCCCTGCAAAGTTGACAAGCGTTGGCTGGTCAGCCGTTACGAAAACATAGTGTTTTTAACAAAAGATTTTGAATAGCAACCGGGAAACCCAATGCAAAGAATTTATAAACCATATTAATAAACCATAGGGAAAACGATTGCGTATATGTATATTTCTTCAGAATATTTTTTGTACAAAAATATACAAAAAGCGACTGGGTTTTCTCGGACAAGAAACGGATATAATACTAATAATAAAAATGAAGTTATTGATTAGTAATTTAAAAATTTCCATTTCATCCTTTCTCAATTAGTACCGTGCAGGGCTACTAGCCGCATGCAAGCTAAGAACACCTCGGTCAAAAGCTTATACATATAGTTGCATCTATAGCTATATAGGTGTACCTAGTTATTTTGGTGAACATACAAATATATATATGGTATATGGTGAACATCAAGCCAACTAGGATTACGATTTACGAACATGACCCAAATTATTGACAGTATACTGAAACAAAATTATTAAAACACATTCTAATTAGAATTGCTTATGTTGTGTAATATGAATGTAATCCCATGCAAATGTAATAATATGCAATTCTAATTAGATTTTGAGTATCTACAGGGGTGGTAAAAAAAGTGTCCCCCAACGAAATATGGCACACGTGTATCTTTGCATTATAAATGAAGGTACGCCAGTAAATATTATGTGTGTTTGAGCATATTTCTTTAGTTTTAGGAGCCAGCTTATAAAAATTGTGATTATAAACTTCAGATTAAGAGAATAAAATGGATTTGCAGAGCTTTTCGTAAAAATTCAAGATGGCGGTTTTCAATCAGATGTGCATGGAAATTATGTAATTGTTTGTCCAAACAACTGTCTGATAAAATTGTTCTGAAACGCTACCTACAATATGAAGAATTAAATAACTAAATAATAGAATTTGACTCGTGTGTAAAATTATGCTTAAACGACGTTAAATGACAGAATATGCCCCTCTGAACTCTGGGTGTTTGTATGGTAATGAAAATGGTACTCAAAACCCACCTAATGAAGAGTTGTACCTACAAATCCTGGCATATATCTACAATTTATTACCTCTTAAAGCACCCATTCACATTTGGATGCAAATACTGTGTCCCTTAAGCTGACTGTGTTTGGAGAACATTCATTGCATCACGTATTGTTTTTGATTGTATCATAACAAATGAAATTTATTCTTCAAAAATTAGTTAGAGTATTTTAGGCCAGTTTGTATTGAATTATATGAATTATCTTTATGAATATTATTACATAATGTTCAATATTGGGCACTAAATATACAGCAAAGTTATTATTTCACTGAATCTTTGCTACAAAGCACCAATCTTGGCTTTTAGTGTAGAGGACATTTCGTGTGATTTTTCGCACATCCTATTTCTCGAAATTCCAATTTTGAATAAAAAACTGAGATATTAAACCGATTGAATATACACAATTAGACATGATTTGTTAGGGACTTCTTCCCATATTATTACTAACAACTGAAGGTGTTACTATTTATGGGGGGCCACTATTTTTTGACCACCCCCTGTATCTATCTATATCTATCTGGGGCCAACGTTTTTGCAAATAGGTGTATGTATATATATATATATATATATATATATATATATATATATATATATATATATATATATATATATATATATATATATATAAATATGCAATATATATATATAAATATGCATGCGTCAATATGCTATATACATGAAGATGTATCAATTAGTTTAGGGGTGGCATTGTGCTCGCAATTTATTGCATATGTCATGGTAGTATAGCGTATTCATACTCCATGCACTTAGTAGTCTAAAGACTGTCGAGCACTGCTTGATTCTTTTCCCATCCAACGCTTTCAGAAATGCACGAATTAACTAAGTTTTTGTATCTTTCGGTTTTTGAATTTCTTTTCAAGTCTTTAGCCAATTTGTCGAATGGGTAATAGCAGTCTTGGACGTCACTTTCATCCTATTTAAGAAAGTAAAACGTATAACTATATCTCAAAGTAATGATGAGAAACGTAAAGCTCGTTTTCCACTAGGCAAATTCATAATAAATACGATCCTAAGAAATACCCGGTGTACGAGGTTGCTTATATATAATATGGTATGGTGTTTTAATAACTAGACGATTTTTTGTTAGAACTTACTGACGACTCTGATTCTGACTCTGACTCTAATGCAGGCTCTGGTTCGACAGTTGAACAATTTGAACTCGAGCCGGAGGCTCCACTCTAAAAAAAAATCATGTCTTTATTCAACCATGCACTAAGACCAAAACAGTAAGTCTTGCTATTGGGTGTATAATCCTGGTGAGGTATTCTTTTCTTACTAGCAAATATCATCGCGAAATGTACGGCATATATAGCTGTCAAATCAGTGACCCTTTTTAAAAAAGTTCCGCTTTTCTATTCTTTTCCCGTTCGTGAAATCTTGCACTGGAATATGATAAAAAGAAAATGAACGCCGCTGTTTAAGGTTGTGTTTTTTTATTTGATTGGTTGTTTTAGATGCGTTTTTCTGACCAAATTAAATTGGTAGAAAATTAACGAATCCAAGCCAATCAACTTTAGATTGGTTTCTATAAGAACAATTTGTTTTTTTCAGCCTAAATTTGGGCCAGGGGTAATTAGTGATACTGCATTTGACGATGATCATATCTGACTATCTTGCTTCGCTTCGCTTTGACGACATTAATTTATTCCACTCAGGTAATGTTTCCATCAGTTATTTTTAATTAGTGATACATTATTGATGCGTACGTTATGAGATTCTACCAGCAAGGTCCAATTAACGAGATTAATTAACGCGGTGTCTTGGGCGTGGTTATATATTTCTATAATAACAATGACTTGATCAGTTAGACTCTGTTGCATTCGCCTTTTAATTTGTTGTAAAATTTGGTCGTTCGTTGACTGTCAACCGATAAACTATGAAGATTTAAGTTATAAATATTTTTAGCTACCTCCGGGAGGAATGATTTCTTTTTGTCCCGCTTTCGTGCAGATGTTAGAGAAGATTCCCAGCGATTATGCAGTGGTCCATTCTAAAGGGAAACTAGTTTTTTGGTTTTGATGTATATCAGTTTGTGGCGATAGAATTTTCAAGGGATATATTTTTACTAATTAATTACAACTGAATTAGTGCATAAAAGATTTTTGTACCTCGATACTCTGTATATTCTGGCCGTTGTGTTTTTCATCATCTGGGTACTTTCTTTTTTCCCCAGTCTCTGGTTGTAGGGAGTAATGATTCTAAGACAGAAGACAGAAGTCAGTTTACAAATAAGGAACCAGGTAATTCGTGTAGACCGTTACACTTTATACCAAGCCCGTTTCATGAAACTTAGTAGATAGTAGCATTCACTGTTATTTATATAGTGACTGAAGCATCGCCGTGATTTGTGCACATCAATGTTGTTGCGTGGTTTTCGTTTGTAACGAAAGTGAGGTACGGAAAACGATAATTGGGGGGACACATATTCATATATATGTTTTTTGTCTTTTGTGTGTTTCATGCATGTCATTATACCTGCCAGTAGGACTGACAGGGACTTACGGAGGTGTCCACAGATCTGTATAAAGACAGCAGAAAAAAATGATATTAAAAATGATGATGATTTTACCATTCCCTTGGCTTCTGTTAATGTTTTTCTCTTTTCACTGGACCGCAACGAATAACGCGACTGCATATAATAAACAAATAAAATTAAAATTATATATACTGTATATATGAAAACGTATGTGAAGAACATACACTGTTACATAGTCTTATATAAAAAGATGGGATTTACAAAATTAGGGCAAAAGTATATGATATTGCTAGCAAGGGGTACGGAGCTTCCTCGGTGCTTGTCCCAGATGCGTAGCGATAAACCAGGGGCATTGTGCCGTCATATCCCCATACATGGTACTAGAGAATGGTAGTAACCCAAGCATTAATTTAGTCATGTGCATGCACGCGACTTGTTTTAACTTTAGTTATCAGTTCAAAGGACAATATACAGTCCAGATGTGGTCTTGTGTGCCTGACTGAGGTTTTGTGGATATAGGGCGATGATATTCGAGTGCATATCCGAAGAATTTATTTGCTTTTGGCTATCACCCTATATGGTTCTTTGTCAAATCTTTGAACTATTTGATCCAGGGGTGTCATGGTCATGATCGTTTTCTCCGTTTTCCCTTTCGCAAACGGATGTTGCCATTTGAAACAGACGTTGCCTTTTTTTAGAACGTTCGATGCCTTTTAAAATGGTCGTTGGCACGTTTTAAAATGGATGACTTCGGACATTGTGTAACATGGCAACGACCATTTTAAAGGGAATCGACCGTTCAAGAAAATAACAACGACCGTTCAAATGGCAACACCATTTACGAAAGGGAAAATTGCGTCTATGTATATATGTATCTATACCTTAATTCTGCGCTTTCTTGCCCCTATATATAGCTAATTAGTATGAAGACGGCGGACAAAAATGATCTTATTAAAAATAATTATTGTTTAGCTTTTCTGTGGCTTCAGCTAATGTTTTCTTTTTCTTTTCATTGGACCTCAAGGAATAACGCGACTGTACAAACAAATAAGACTTTTCAATTAGTTAAGTATAGGTTGAACTGTTGAATACCTTTATTATATCCATTCTAATTGCTATAGTGCATGTAGCATGTTTAGCAGCGTGTATTGATTTAGAAAAAAAATTCCAGTGTATTTTTCTTTATGTAATTCGCTTACAATCCGGCCTTACCTTCTGCAAATGGTTCATCCATTTTCTCAGTTTAGCGGTCTGATGCATGTTGGTGTGAACTCGATCTTGCATGGTAACGTTACATGCATGCATGCTCATTGCAGATATCGAAAATCTTAGTCATAAGTTAAAATCCTTAGCCATAAGTTAACGGAATACTGTGGTGGATATCACCCTATATACAGCAAGTGTGCACCTCATTTAAAGCAGCTATTCCTTAAGTCCTCAACTTCAGTTTTTTTTTAAAACTGACCGGGGTAGCCTGGGCAGTGTTGCCTCTCCATATAAACCTGCACCTCGAGTTTATATGAGAAAATATTTTCGTTTCGTATCATAGTATTGTGAGAAATTCGTGACCAATGTATGTTTACCCTTTTTCTGGCTTTTTTCAAATGCTTTGAATTCTTCCCCTTTTTTCGAGACTTCGGCCCCTATATGTATATATATATATATATATAATATATATATATAATTAAAGTGTTACGCAAGGCTTTATTATGTTTAGTTATATGCATACTAAAATAGTATAAAAATAGGAAATATCACCTGCCGTGCATGGATGAGTAATTGATTATTGCCACAAAATGCATGGGTAAATATAATTTTGGCCTTTCGCAAATATCAATTATTTTTCCTTCTGCAAGCTTGACAGTTTGAATGAATAATTAATGTTGTATTAATCTTAGTGTCGATCAGTTTGACCGATCTGTCGTTTTTAGGTAAACAGTGGGCTTGGGTAAACATGTAAAGTTTACATACCTTAAAAGCCCAAGCGAAGCGAAATTTTATCTTAAAAACAGGATGCCTTAGGCAGCTGCAAAGTTCGTATGTCAATCAATTGTGTAAAAAATAATGCGCGGTCGAGCATTTTATGGGTTACGTCAGAGAAAGTTTAAATCGATTAAAGTAGTAGTATAGTTAAGTTATAAAATAAGGTTCACAGAAACAATGTTTGATAGTTTTAATGCATGTTGATGATAAATATTTTAAGTTGTGAACAAGTTTTAGTATTGATCGATTGAGCGAAAGACCAACTCGACCACTGCGACAACGCCTTAAATAAACAAAATATGAGAGCTGGAGCGAGCTTCTAAGACCAACCCACTGATTACATGTACAACGCTGATTGGCTGGATAAGGATCAGCCCACTATGGTTGATGACGTATGCAAGAGTCACTGAACCCTCATTATAAAAGGGCGTGCACAGCACCTGAACCTTCAGTGGACTGACGGAGTAAAGATTAACTTATGAAACGTTAAGAAGCTCAACCTACAGGACAGACGACCAAAGACAAGAACGCAAAACGACGAAGATCGAGAAGTAGAGAAGAGAAGAACGGAGAAAGAAGAGAACATTAGTGAACTTTAGTTAAAACCCTTGTAAAAGATCTCCTACCTCGCGTATATCAATTAAAGAATCTTATAACAAAAGCAACATGCATGCATGCATAGTGGAAAAGATAATATTTATATCTTAATTATGTATTTGACGGTATATGACATGCATGGTTAGTTTATTAGGGCAAAATTATGAAGTATATGATAGTGGTATGATAGCATATATGCTAGCAAAGGACACAGAGCTTCCTCAGTGCTTGTCCCAGATGTATAGCGATAGAACCAGGGGCATTTGCCGTCATATCCATGCATGCATGGTACTGGAGAATGGTTTTACGCGACTTGTTTTAATTATCAGTTCAAAGGACAATATACAGTCCAGATGTGGTCTTGTGTGCCTGCAACTGAGGTTTTGTGGAGATACAGCGATGATATTCGAATGCATATCTGAAGAATTTATTTTCTTTTGGCTATGGTTCTTTGTCAAATCTTTGACCTATTTTGATCCACAGGTTTTAAATCTTTGACCTATTTTGATCCACATGCAGGTATTAAAAGCAATATATATAAGGATTATATATGAGAAACAATGCACGATTACAGCCATGCAATACTATATGAAAGCCTAATATGTCATAAACCGTATATATAATATTTAAGTATGTGTTTCGCCCAATGAGGTGAGAGGGTTACGTTGTGGTAATTTTAAAACACATCAAAGCAGATGTTAGAAGAAATTCGAACGTTCTGCGAACGTTTCATTTAAATGTATTCTTCTCTCCTACCACGAATTATGTCATGACAACTGATATAAATTTCTATAATTAATTCACGGAGGCAAATATGCATGAACTTGTCCTTGTCACTAATTAGTACATATGAAGACGGCAGACAAAAATGATTATTGTTTACCTTTCCTTTAGCTTCTTTTAATGCATTTTTTCCCTTTACATTAGACCTCAAGGAATAACTCGACTGTATAAATAAATAAAGAAAAAGTTACCTAATATCCGTTATATATTATATAAGTAAACAATCTTAAAATTATATGATGTGGGAAGAAGTTCGTTTTTTCTTGACGAACAAAATATGTTTAAATTTCTATAATTCGAAGGCAAATATATGAACTATGGAGTTAAACGTACCTTTGGTTCTGACTGCAACACATCGCCATCGGCCTCTGGTTCTGTACAGGATTTTTGGCCAAAAACCTCGTTCTAAAGATGTTATGTATATTACTCTAATTTCATGTCGAATGAAAACAAACAAAATAACTGAAAAAAAAAGATTTTGCTCTCTCTTTTACGATTCGCTTGGACTAACTATAAATAATACTTATATATAGTTTATCACCAGAAACGCGGTTATAGAATAATGATTAATCTCTATATTGTTTTTCACCTTCGATGAATTGGTTCTGTTGTAAT